GAAAGCCTTCATGGAGCCTGTAGCACCACAGCTACCTTTTGCTCACGTAGTGAATCTTTCTGTTTAGACAAATATTCAGGTTAGTTGGCTTTTGTTAATATATTTGCTCTATTTTCTGTGTGTTTTATAAATGAATGGTGCTTTTTGTACTTGCTTGATTAATTTTTAAGTTCTAATTTTCATCAGGCTACATTTGGATGGAAATTGGAATCCAATTAATGAACAAAAATGGCATTTAAAGTTGTTTTCATTAGTTAAACGTGCTGGATATGGATGAAAAATGCTTATTAAGTCTGTTTTTGTTTAAAGCATGCTGATTTTTGTAGCAACAAAGCGAGTATTAGCAGCTGTTTATGAACCAAATTAATTGTTTCTGGTCAGCGTGCTCTTGAAGAATCTGTTTCTTCGAACTAAGAAATCTCAGTTTCCGGAGTTGTTCTTTTTTTATTCTAAGAAACGAAATTCTCCATCTGAGCAAACCTTCTGGCGGAGTCTGTGCGCCCCGCCTATCTGAGACCAAAATCTCTCCCCAGATCTCTCTCAGGTGTGCGCAGGCTTCCTGCCCCGCCACCCAGAAGTATGCAGGTCAAACCCAATGTAAGCTATTCGATCAACAGCTGAGCTCCCATCAGGTAGCATTAATGAGCAAAACAAAGGCAATCCCCCCTGCTTGTTTTATATTATTTGGACCTGGTTAAAGGTGGGAAGCAACTAGTCCTGAGCCCATCTAACAAATATACAAATATTGCTGGGGCAAAAGAGCTCTTCTGTGCACCACAGACATCTGAGGCACTTACTTAGAAGTTAAGGTGGACATATGGACCATATGTGTCTTGGAGAGCTTAGATTCATACTTTTCAAGTTGTTTTTCTATGTGTTTTATGTGAAGTCAGTTCCCAGGGCTGGTCTTGAACAAACTATTTTGTCATGTGGGTGGAAAATGAAGTTAACTGGGAAGTAGAGTACAAACAACTCTCCACATGCAGGAGACCTTACTGGTGTCAAAAACTAGTTGATGAGTACTACTATTAATTCCATGATTAATGAACTCTGCAACTTTGATAAAAACTTTGATAAAAAGTGCATGCTACTTTAATCTTTACACTGAAAAACATATACACGTTATAACCATACAGTTAAGACCTTTCAAATGAAAAAGGTGATGAAGACCTATCACAAGCTAACTATCTTTAAGAAGTTTTAAAATTCTGAAAGAAGAAAAAAAAAAGATTCATCCTTCTCTAAGGAGGCTATAAACCTGGTAACATGATAAATTTGCTGTAAATATTAGTGAACCGATCTTCGAGTGCTACAGCTCCTGTTAAAGCACAATAAACATGACCTGATAAAGCATCTTTCCCCCTATCCTCATAGCTTGGAAACAGTCTTTTTAGTAGCACTCTAAATTTAGAAAGACTATAAGATGAACTGCAGGGTGTTCTCTGGAGTCCAAATGGATGATTATTCTCCAAAATATACGCATTTTAGTCCTTAAATTTTAACTATACATTTAAGGAAGCTGCTTTTGGCCTTGTGATGGGAGTGAATGTGAAGCTCAGATTGCACACATTTGGAAATGAGTTTCCTAAATTTAGTGCCTCTAACATATGTTTAAGATCTAGGAATCTATTTCTGATATAACTCATGCTAGAAGTTCCTGGAAAGCTACATGACTTATGTGGCATGGCATGGAGAAGATTAAATTATAGTTGACTTTTTTCCCCTCCTAAGCTCACCAGAAGCATCTGTGAGATTGATGGGTGGTGCAGTCATTGCATTATGTTTTGATGTGTTTCTTTTGGAAGAAAGTCTTCCAGTAAATATAGAATTATTTTTAAATTATTGTGGGTAAGGACATGAACAGATTATCATAACTCCAAGTTCAATTTATTTGCTCCCGAAGTCTTTGTTATACTTGATTTCTGCCAAAAGAAAAAAGAAAGACCTGTCTTTTTTGATGTTCTTGCTTTAAAACAAATCAAACAATGTTTCTGTTGAGCGATTAAAAATCGGTGTGGCTGAGGAAATGGACATAATTTCTCTAAATCCTATATTATACTGGAGATGAATTTGGTTACACACGTGCCAATGTACTTCTGCAAACAAGAATATGAAAAACGATGATACGCAATCAGCTCAGTATGGACAAATTCTCCTCCCTTCCCTAATAAACATATATCACTATTACACCAAAATGGGATGGTGATGTTAAGGATCCTCACTCACAATGCGTAAATAAATATTAGCAAGTCAAAATTATAAGGATGGACAGGGATAGAGCTGCAGGTTGTAGGGTTGGGAAGGCACGTGTATGTCTTCTGACTCCAGTTGCCTTTGTTGCCCCTGTTTCATGTTTAAGGGTGAGGCAGCAGAAAGGAATTTCGGTGGTGAATTGAACCTAGCCAAGAGAGCGGCTGGAAATGGAGCTTTGGGAAGAAGAGGGGAAAACTGGGCTGCAGGCAGATGGGCAACAGAGGGGAGGCAGGAAATACCTGCAAACAAAAGTAATGAAGTTTGCTTCATTTATACAGGAGAGAGATGTCTGGAGGTGGATGAAGGTAGAAGCTGCGCAACCTCTTGACACCCAGCTCAGGCTGCATGTTTGATCCATAGCAGCGTTGTAGGAGTTAGCTTAAAGTGGAGCTGGGACGGGGAGGGCTGGAGCTGCACGTGGGGAGGAAATATTTGGCAGTGGACTCCTGCAGGAGCTGTGTGGGGATAACTGAAGGTAGCGGTCACTGCAAAGAGCAGCTAAGCTGTCTGTTAAGCTGTGTGTGCTTGGCTGCAAAGAGTCATTGCGTCTACACCCAGTGCAGGTAGCGTGGGTCCTTGCAACACAACTGGAACAAACAAATGTCTTGCCAATTTGTATCCGCTCAGAAACTTCTCCAAAGTGATGCCATCAGCCAGGCATCCACGGTAGCGTTTCCAAATTACTGGAAATCTTGCTGGATTCACGATGAAGATGTAAAAGGATTTACTCTGAGTACACTCACAGGATGTTGGTAGCAATAAGAGGAGAAAATGAGTAATCTGCTGGAAAGTGGTTCAACATCTCTACCGAAATGACTGCTATCTTTCATTACAGCTACGTACTTTCAGGGCGTAGTTTTTGAGTTCGTTTAAACCTTTCTCTAGGCAGACTAAAAAGGCTGCTCCACCTTTTCCCATGCCCTGACCTAGTTACTCTCGCTTCCTCCCTTGCTCCAGGACTGCCATTTGTGTGGCTCTGTGGTTATTCAGGTCAGGGACCCTCCGCTGGCACCACACAGCAGCCAGAGACGCTGTCCTGCTGGCCCCAAGTCGTGAGGAGGAGCGGGGAGGCTGGCTGTGGGGGGATCCTGGGTCCAGGGGAAAACATGGGCTAAGATCAGCACGAGCTGCCTGTGAACGCTGCTGTGGAAACACGGGGCGAGCTGTGTAAGGGGTGCGATCACCTAAAGCGATTGGCAGAGTGTGTTTCTATCCTAAATGCCCTATTTTGGGGTTTCTTCACCTGGTCCGTGGAGCTGTTCCTGGAATTGTTTCCCCCGAGGTTACGGCTGACTTGTGTTTACCAAAAGAAAGCGGTAAAACTTGGAAAGGAGCTTTTCATTCTCATTTGTTTACGGTTAGCACGCTGGGACTTTGAAAGAAGTTCCTGAGACGCTTAAATTAAAGTAGTGATAGCTTCTTGTTGTTGGATTACAACAAAATTAGCAGCTTTTTGTTTTCTGGTGCATAGAGGGTGTCTGTTTCTTAAAGTATAGCAGCGGAGGCTGCTTTGGTGAGGCTCTGCACGTGGGCCCGTCTCTGCACGATGCACAGGAGAGCGAAGGGAGCCGGGCTGGTCCCCCTGCTCTGCCGGTGGGTGCTGGGGCTGGGCCCTGGGGCAGGCACTGAGGGTGGAGGTATGGAGGTGAAGGTCTTTCCCTTGAAGACCCCTGCAGGAAGAGGGCTCACTGGCCTTCCTGCTAGGGATGAAGGCAACAAATTCAGAAGCTGCACGCGAGGGCGACTCAGAGGAAGGAATTTTTTTCAATAGAGGTCTTCAATGCCTTCTAGTTCACAGAAGGGCTTGCGTGAAGTGCTTTTGAGAAGTAATCCTGACGTAAACAGATGGATTAATGGCACTGCAGTGTAGTGGGTACTCGGCGGTGCTCCGCTGGCCCGAGACGAGCTCTTCAGAAGCTGCTCCTGAGGCTGGTAAAATAAGTAGGGTTTAGCAGGGCATACGTAGCCCTGCGGCCTGATCAGTGCTATGCAGCATGTAAAGAGGAGCTCGAGTGTGAGATGGTGTTCTCCAGCTGGGCTGTCTGCTCGAAAGCCATAGAGAAAACCACAGTGGTGCCTGGTCTGCAGTGGGCGCAGCGCTCGGGCCCTCTCACTGGTACGAGTGCCTCATCTCGCCTTGAATTTGCCGGCCCACCTCGGGCCCGCCGCCAGGACCCCGGCTGTTGCATAATGTTACCCAGGAGGAACCACTGGCAGTTTTCACGCTGGCTATCATTCCAGAGTACTCCCACACAAAGGAAATTGTAGCGTATATGTAACTCTGAGGCTTTTTGTGCAGCCCTCAGCACAATCTAAAATTAAAAAAAGAAAAAAAAAATAGCTAGGAAAACTAGAAAGAGTTTGGCTGCTCTGACTGCAGCCCGTTCACTTGTGGCAGCCTCATCTGCAGAGTCTTGCATGTGGAAACGCATCAAGACAGTGACAGGTAAGAACGAATGCCTTGTGAAGAAGCAATGGCTCGATGGTTTTTAGAAGAACTTCTTAGCATGAAAATTGCAATTATTTTCTAAAAGACAGAAGAATCCTCTTTTGGCTCAAACTGTTCTTTCATGTTCTGTGAATTCAATGATTTCCAGAGAAAAGGCAGACCCTTAATATTCAGACTTCAGAGGGCATCATAAGAGTGCTCCCTCATTTCCATGCATGCTTGTTCCATACCAGTTTTCCTGTCAGTCTGATTCATAATGTTCAAAAACATTCACTGCATATTTCCTTTTTCCCCACAGCAACAGCCCGAGTCTGAGACTGTTCATCTGTTCATCCCAGCCTTGGCAGTTGGAGCTATTATTGGCAAGCAGGGACAGCACATCAAACAACTTTCTCGTTTTGCAGGCGCATCTATTAAGGTATTATTACACTGACTAACTTTGTCTATTCTCCACGACACTTCCAGCAAGTTTGTACAAGCCATGTTTTTGTGAATGTCCTCCCCCACTCCGTGCTTAGAATGTGATGTGATAAATGGTACATTTGTTTATAAATCATCTTTTAATCTTCCTTGAGACAAGATAATTAGAAGCATGTTTTCAAACGTCTCCTGAGGTGTGAAATATAAGCTGGAAAGAAAGCTACTTTGGTGGTCTCAATTTCTTAGAAACAGACTTAAGTCTTAATGATGCGGTGCTTAAAGGCTTTCTTCTTGCTTTCCGTGAAGTGAAAATTGGTGAGGTAAACTCCCCTCCTAAAAACAACTGCACAGGTGACGTCTCCTGCTGCTGTGACCACTCTCGCTTTGCTCTGGATGGACCAGGCAGGGCTGTTAGGCTCTGGTGGCTCCGCAGTGAAGCGCTTGTGTTTTAAAACCTCTGCTTTAATCTGGGTTCCTGGCTCAGCTTGCATTTCGACAGCGTGATTACCTTAGCGCCCTGCTTTAACATCTGCCCGCTTGTGTTGACCAACTCAGTGAGGGGAGAGCAAGATGGTTTGCAGAGGAAATCATCATGGAAGTATGAGTTTGAATTTGAACCAGTTTGGTTAAATCCTTGATTCCTCTGTCTGTAGGGGTGGGGTTAGTAACAGCGGCAGTTGTAGGAGTTGTAGGAAGGCCTTGGGTTTCTGCCAGGAATACTGTTGTAACTACAGGTAGCTTTTCTAGGTGCTGGAGCTTTTTTTCTTGAAAAATGGCCAGTTCTGCTATTCTGTGCTGCAATGATAATGTCTTGGCCTAAACCATGCAGTTTTCTGCAGTGCTTTGTTATCTGCTGTTAGACTGAAGATTTCCTGAGCAAATGAAACAAGCGTTTTCTCCTTTTTGCTCAGGAGATGTGGCCTGTTCAGTGAGGGCTACGGAGCAGGGATCTGCTGAAGGGGCAGGAGGTGTCTCTGCTGAGTGAAGCTTGGTGAAGCCAGAGAGGCTTGGCTTCTCCTGGAAGGTGTTCATCTAAGTGTGCAGGGCAAAATGTTCAGAGAACCCCAGAGGGTGAGCCTCGTGTGTGGCTTGCTGAATGCCAACAAATGTACTGGCCAGTCAACGAACCGGCACGCTGCCCAATCCCATTTTTTATTAAGATGGGTACTAAATATCTGTTATGCTGCCTGGGTGGTTTATGTTAGTAGAGCACTAATAGTCATATTTTTAGTGGGGAAGATTGGATGGAAGGAGGTGTAAGGTGTTGGTTCTTCATTGAATCTGTCTTGCATGGAGGTGTGATGTATCACGTGGATTTTTTCCCTCCCTCTCTGGTTTGTATCTAAAGATGAAGCGGTACATGGAAGGGTACTGCCAGGTGGAGAGAAATGCAGAATAACCTGGACCTCTGAGAGCCAGTCCAAACTAGTTCGTTGGTTGGTCCTTGGAAGACAGTTTAATGGAAAGGGAGTTTCCTGCATTTCTCACACATCTGGCTAACAGTGGCCTCAGGCTGCTTTTACTAGCTGGCACCCCATCTACTCAACGTGCTTAATGTACCTGTATTAGTTGAAATTAAGCTTCTTAAAGCTCTGGTCTTTTGTTCCTTCAATAAACAGTAAGGTGAGGAAGATTTCTGTGGAAGTAGGATGAAGCCTTAAAGGAACTGTATGGATATAGGATATGCTTGTTAAATCCGGAAGTTATGGGTTTTGTGTAAGACTATTAACTAGGATAAAAACACAAATTCAACTCTGACCAAACAACATGGAGCAGCTAGAACAAACTTACTTGAAACTTCTAAACTTCCCTTGTGCTGACAGCCTGCCCTTTATCGCAACTTCTGAGCAAAATAATAAATCATGAGGCCAGGAATCTGTGCTCTTAGTGAAGAGCTTGAGGGAGTGCTGCTGGAGTAACATCTAGCTTTCCAAACTAGTAATCGTGCTTTTGGGAGGAAGTAAGGCTTTGTGCACGATGCTCTGAGCTTGTTTTGAGCAGTGCTGGAGATAGTTACATATGAAAACATTTTACATCCGCATGCATTTTCTTTGTGCTCGTGCTGAGCTTTGTAGATCTGATGAAACTAGTTAGCCACAAAATAAGACTAAATAAACTGCAGATGCACAGGGGCTCTGCATAAGGCTGTGGTCAGCCCAGTGCTTCAGAGGCGCACGCGGCTGCTGATGGCCTTGGGTTGTGTTCCTGTGCCAGAGGCTGCTGCTTGGCGGGGCAGGCTTGGCGTGGGCCTTCTGTAGACACAGTTACTTAGAGCCAAGCAGTTCTCCACCTTGCAGGGGAGTGCTGGGGCCTGTTGGGAACACTAGCATCTCTTAGCTTATAAAATAATTCCCCCAGTTCCCCTTCCTGTCTTTGAAGGAGCTGGGATGGGCACTGCTGATTTTGTTTGTATGAAGGTGTCTGGTGGTACCTCAGCATATGGAAGACTCCCCCCAAGTTAGCAATGTAAAGGCATTTCTGGTAGGAATGTGAAGATATTTCCCTCAGAAGTTAAAAATTCACCACTTGAATAATAATTGTACATATATAACTGCTCCTTCCAAAAGCAGGCAGACAGAATTAACACTGAAGGCTCTTAGATTGCCCTTTCAGACTTCAAAATGCTCCAGTTGGTACATGCTTCTCTCATAGCCCTTGGCAAGGTGCTGCTCCAGCTGTGGAGAACAGGCCATCCCAAGATGAGAGCAAAGCAAGAAATGTCCCAGAACACTTACATCTTTGCATCTTATGCATAGTTAATGAAGACTTGATGGAAAACATTTTTCCTAAAATGTCAATGAAGAAGCAGGCTTTGACTAAGAAAAACTGAGGTAACCGAAAGGCAAACTACAACATCCATCTTACCGGAATGGAAATCAGTAGGCGAAGCTCTGTTCAGTCAGCTGATGCCAAATGTGCCTTAGAATTTTACCCCTGTAAAATTCCTGCGCTCCAAAGAGTGAATGTATTTATCCTGTGCTTGCCCTTACCACAATGCCCCATCTTGGTGTTTGAGTAAATGCACTGTTGTAAAGTGAATGTGTATTTTTAGCTGTAGCCGATCGGAATGCAGAAATGGTATGAAAAATAAATATGCAAACCAGATAACTAGCATGTAATATATTCTCCATCTCAGGGTACAATATGAATAATTATATAAACTTTGGTTAGCAAAATTCTTTAGTGAAAATGATGCATGGTGACTGGTAATTTGTCTGAAATAAACTACAGCTGTTAAATATGAATAACATCCCCATGCCAACAGCTAAGATGAAATCCTGTAGTGTTTAAAATATTGCCCATTCAACAGCAGCTATGTAATAGTAGACGCAACAATGGAAATGTCAGTTGTGATAAACAAAAGATTCATCCAGAATGTCAGAGGCTAGTTTGAATTATTTAATGTCAATGGAGTCTGAGAACAACACCCACAGAAATCTTACTTTTGTGGTGACATGAACTGCTAAAGACCCTGCAGGCATCTCTGTCTCAGCTCTGGTGGAGCTTAATTTTTATTTGGGTCACACAAATGTCTGGAGATAGAAAACCCTTGGAAACTGTGAACTCATTGTCCAGTGCGGAGGAATGTTTTGGACCTGATTAGTTACAACAGTAAAGTGATCTTCTGCTCTCAGGGGGACAGATGCGAACTTCTGCTAATGAGCAAAACTCGTTAGACTATTTAAGTTAGCAGGCAAGGATAAGAATCTCAGCCTATTAACCATACTTTTCTTTTTGAAGGCTACATGTTTTGCATCCCTCGTAGCCACATGAAAATTGCTTGTGGGATTTTGCCATATGCGGATGAGCAGTTATGCCTTTAATTTTCAGAAGTGAGCTTGCTTATGGTTTAGCCAATTTCTCCACATTTCATTACAGCTAATTAATGCACTTTAAAGAGAACAAGCCCGTCATGACTGAAGTGTAATGCTGCTGCAGTAATGAATAACTTTTCACTCTTGAACAGAATGTGAGACTGAAACGGGGAGGAGGTGGCTTTAAACGATTCCTTCAAAAGACAGCTACCAAAAGCTATGTTTATCCATTCCAGATTGCCCCTGCTGAAGGACCAGATGCCAAGCTGAGAATGGTTATCATCACTGGACCTCCAGAAGCTCAGTTTAAGGTAAGCCACATAAAAACTTGTCAATCTGTAGTGGCCTTTGTGCTGCGAGGGGCAATACTGAAATCTAACCACTCAGTTCAAACTGAAGTGTATTCAGAAATGTAGTAAATAATATCTTTTATTTTTGCTTTCCTTTTGCTGAAAGGTATTTCATGAATATATGAGTACCATCAGGGGCTGTGTTCTGGTCATCTGCAAACTGGCAGCAGTTTCACACAAGTTAGGATCAAGTCTAGCGTGTCAATGTGACCATATTGCATTCCTCATTCTCATTTTTGGGCTATGAGAGCAACAGTTGTCTTTCTAGCCTGCCTTAGTACCTGTAATAGGGTAGTGTGTTTAATTGTTATAACAGTAACAAGATGAGACTGAGTCTCCCCAGGTTACTGTTGCATGCTGACTGGAAAGTGCTGTTTGGGTGGCTCTGCAGATAAAGGCAAGGCTTGTAATTGTATTTACACTACAACTGCACGGAGATACTCCAACACTATTATCCCATTTGTGTTCAAATTGAGTTGTGGAGTGGCCTTCTGCCTTAAGTGCCAAGGGCTAAATCTAGTTACTGCCAAAAGGAGTTGACCACGCTAACGGTGGTGCAGATGGCTCAGTGCAGCAGCTCAATTTCCTCACAGATGAGGCCCCAAGCAGGTAGGAAGTCACCTGAGAGTTCATGTCCTGGCATTGCTCTCTTGCCTGTTCTTGTTTTTGGCTTTGTATTTTTGCTTCAGGGTGTCTTGCAGGGAGAAGGTACACAAACTTCAGGCATATCTAGAATCAGTTTCATGAATGCCTTCAGGAGTTTTGGAGAAATATCAGGGCAGGTATTTTACAGGAGTAACAGTGATCTGGATGCATTTGGGATTGTTGCTCAGTCGCTTACCATATGGATTTGAAAAGCTACTGAGTGCAAAGCATAACTTAAAAGCTCTGCCTCCTGGAGGTTTTCTGTGCACATGTAGGCTTGGTCACACGGCGTTCTCCACATAGGAGGCATCTTCATGACCTGGGATCAGCACAAGGTTGGATTTTTGAGGACCTTTTCTTTGTCAGATATTAGGGAACCCTTGAGTAGCAGGCCCAAGTGGATTTGGGTGCCCCTTGTCTTGACCTTGTCTTGATTTTCATGTAGGCAAAGGCTTGACCGTAGGTTTCCTCCACAACGTTGGCTTGGAGTACCACAGGGCTCTTCTGCCAAGTTCTTTCCCCAGCCTGGACCCTTTGCAGAAAGTCTCCCTTCTCTGCACCCCCTGCTTTGGCTAAAACCACATCAAATTAAACATCAGCTACTTCTCTACAGTTAGGCTTCTGCCTGCAAAGAGGGATCACTGTATTGTCCAGTGTTCCTGAGAATGCAGGCCTCGAGAAGGAGAGGGACTATCCCTTAGGTCTTCCATCACTGCAGCCCCCATAGCTCTTTACTATACTCCTTGAGCAATGCCCTCTTGCTGGGATGGGCAGAGTTCAGTCCTTTCTTTTATCACCACCACAGCTCTGTGTAAGTGTCTTCTCCATCTCTGAGCACAGGCTCTCGTTACACAAGAATGTAGTCTGGGTGCACAGCAACTCGAAGAGGGACTGGTTGCTGCTCAAATGAGTAACCAGCTCTTGGAGAGGCCGTGTCAGCACAGAGCCTGTGAGTTTGGCATCCTTTCCCTACTACATTGTGTTCCGTTGTGTGATTCATGTCAGTGGTAGCTGCAGCGGCTGCACCCCTTTCTTCCTCAGCTGCAGTAGCCCGAGGACGTTGCGGTATGTGGGACCATTTATTACCGAGGGAGCTGGAAGAAGGGTGAGAATATGCTGCTGTTTACAGCCTCTGCTGCAGTGCTCCCTAGAGTTTAGGCATGCCCAGATGCCAGCATTCAGAGGGGATCTCGTTGCTTTGGATGTGGGACATGTGCAGTGGAAGTGGAATCAAGTGTAGACAACATATTTCAGCCACTGTTTTACTGCAAAGGACTTGCCAACCCAGTTGTTTCCTTTCCTTAAAGACTCTTTCAACAGCGAGAAGACAGTAAATATATTTCTAACACCACAAGTCTTTCTAAAACCAACATCCCACCTTGTTCTATCATTCAGCAGTAATGCATGTGTGCCTTTTTCCCCCATAGTGCGTCTCCTACCTAGGCCAAAGCCATACACTGCAGGTTTTGTTTTTTTTCCCCAAACTGTTTACACGGAGTCAGACCTACAAAAATACCAAGTACTTTCAGCTCCAAGGTCACAAAATGTCTTTCATCTTACCTGTTCTGGAATAGAGTGAACTTGACTAGGCTTGAGGACATGAGATAAGATAAGCTGCCACTATAGAACCTAATTACCCATTCACACGGTCTTCCTGAACTTTGTGTTCTGTTGCATTGGTGGCCTGCTGGGAAGGTGGCTGCACTGCAGTGACAGGGCTGGTGGGTCTCATTTAAAGGAGAAGAAAAAGGACCTGAACTGGAAAGGCTTTGACCATAGGTTTCTGCTCGTCACAGAGCATCTCTCTTCAGTACCTCAACAGAATTAATCTTTCAGTGCTTCTAGGATATGCAGAGATGAAACTCCAGTTGTCACTCTCAGGAATTCCCTGACAAATGGCAGGCAATGAGGAAATAAATGTCTTTTAAAGATCAGCGAGATTCAGTGGCTTAGTCTCAGTGGACATTCTTCTTGCTACCTGGCAGTTGCATATTCCCCAGAAAAGGCAACTGTGTGCGGGCTGAAGGGATTGTGTTCCCATGGTGCCATTTAGATCTAGACAGCTTTAATTTTCCACTTCAGAAAATGGAGCTAGCTCTGATTTATTTATTTTTTAAGCAATATGTTGTAATTGAGTGTTAAACTAAGCAGCTTGCTGTAAGTGAAGTCTTTGTCCTGTGACTTTTTTTTTTTAGTTTAGCATCCCTTAAAGAAAAAAAAGGCTTCTGAGCCAATTAACTGTGTTCTGTGCTTCTGGGTGTAATAAAAAAAAATGCTTCAGCCAGACAGTTCTTCTCTCTACTACTCTTTACCTCTATAGAGATGTAATAGCTTATTTTAAAAGCAACATTTCTACTGAAAAATGGAGTAATAATGATCTTTTTTAAATAATTCCTTGATTCACTGGTTTGTCGTGCAATCTTTAAAGTTGTACCGCACTGGGTCCTAGTTTGGTGCAAAGACATACTTCAGAAAAATAGCTGTTGATAGCTATTGCATTTATTGGGGAAAATGGTTTGTCGGGGTTGTGCATTGAAAACGCTCCTTTCTGTGGAATTTCTTTGAAGTTAACTAGATTTCAGTAAGCACATTCTTTAACTGGAAACACTTTTGCAGGCTCAAGGGAGAATCTATGGAAAACTTAAAGAAGAAAATTTCTTTGGACCTAAAGAAGAAGTGAAACTTGAGGCTCATATAAAAGTGCCATCCTATGCTGCTGGTAGAGTTATTGGTAAAGGAGGCAAAACAGTAAGTAGCTGGAACGAAACGTAGAGTTACTCAGTTATGTTTCTTCATTGTATGTATGCATATAAGACTTAAAGATTTAGCTAACCAATAGCTAATCCTTTGAAGTTAAGTTAAAGCTGGTGTTATTTTCTTAATTGTATTTAAGCTTTCTGTTGTCTCAAGAATCTCACAGAATGATATATTTTAAAAGATTTTTTAAAAAGGGTACTTGCAGTCAGAGGCTTTTATAGGGCTTTTATTAATAGAAGTGTTGTTCTTCCATTACATTCCCACTTAAGACAACTTTCTTTGAACCTTACCTGATGTCAAATCTGGGGGAAATAGTCACTGACTTCATCTGATTTAAATCAATCCAGTGTGTACAAAGGTGGCATTTCTGTCCTGAATTGAAAGCATAACTAAAAAATGGTAGAAAATTAGGACATATTGAATATGATAAAAACAAACGAACACAGTGATTTGCTCTGTCTTAACTAATGGCATCCCTTCGGATCACTTTGTTGCATAAAGTAATAGAACTGAGATCTTCAGCCCTGCAAGCGTGCTGGTACTCTTCTATTTTCCATACGCTTGTTAATCAGGAGCTAGTTGATATTGGCAAAGAAACAGTTCAGTCTTGGGTCCCCATCCTTGAGTACAACGGGGTCTTGAAGTTGTGTGTCAGGAGGCAGCCTTATTACTTGCAGTACTAAGAGATTAAAGGATTAAAATCTTTGAAAAATTGGCCATCTAGAATATTTTTAATTATATAATTAAATATATATATATATATATATAATTTTGTTCTAAAACAAAAGGAGTGTAAATCGGACAGTACAGAAGCTGATGGGCTACTGAAAATAGTCTGGATGCTTCTCATTGTTCTGTTTATCATTCTCCATCTTGTGGAAGCTGTTTTTTTATAAATACTTCTACATTCATTTTTCCTTACATTATACATTGTACGAGTTTTCTGACCTTAGGCTTGTAAACTCAACTGCAAACACTGTGGCATCTATCTGCTTTTTTAAGTGGTGTATTTAACACCTTCTGTGTTGTATTTAGTCTTTAAAGCACTTCCACAAACCTAGAGAACTTGGTGCTAATTTATGTTAGAGAGACGAGGCTCATCTTGCAAAGTACACTGCTGCATGAAGATGCTTTCTGTAGTGGGTTTCTTTTTTTAGCCATAACTTAGAGGATGTTTCTATGGCCAGCAGCATATTTGAGGTTTGCATGTTGTGGGATATTTGGTTGTTCAAGATTATCTGACTCTTTCTGTCTATTTATAGGTAAATGAGCTTCAAAACTTGACAAGTGCAGAAGTTGTAGTCCCTCGTGACCAGACACCTGATGAAAATGATCAGGTGGTTGTGAAAATAACTGGTCACTTCTATGCATGCCAGGTAGGACTGGAACGAATTTCTACATTGCCTTGATGTTTTCATGGTCTGTCTTCTCTGTCTGTGTGCAGAGCCATGGGATGGAAGGCACTTGTTTGGGATACAGAAAGCACTGCTTGCCAGGCTTCTCTAATTGCCTTGCTCAACAAATTTTCCCCGTGCCTATGAGAAAAATTTATAGCAATGTTGCACTCTCACGTACCTAAAACAATCTTCTTGTAAGTGTCCCATTGATGTGTTTAGGCTCTGGCACTGTTAAAACTTTCAACACAAAAGAAACCCCAGGTTGGGATTGGACTGAAGGTGCAGATGAAAGGGGTGTAAGCCTGTAGAACCTGGCAAGAAATGCACGTGTATGTGCAATCTGTCCACATTTCCCAATCTGTTGATTGAATGCCATAAAGAAAAGGATTGCAAGATCCCTTCCCTCACCCAACTTTGTAGTTCAGATTGATTCCTTTGTCACGTTGCTGCAGGTGCCTTGTAGTTTAGAAATGAGATGGGGAAGGCTGGTAAGTTGTGTAAAACTTAAAACCTCCTGGAATCAGTGTACGGAAAAATTAGTTCACTCTCCAGTGAAGCAGTGGTTCCTATAAATACAAAATAGTATCTCCAGGGAATAAAATTAAATTAGGCTGGAACTTCAGTTAGTCTTGTTGGTAGTCATCTTCCTATGCTCATGCTTTCTATATTACAGATGGAAAAAATGACTGCGCAGGTAGTTGTGGTAGGTGGAAAAAGTAGAAGTTTAAAATAAGTTGTGCTTGGGGACTACATTATGACTAACCAAAGTGTATTTTATCTAGTGAGTAATTGGTGAGTAGTAGGGACTCAGTTATTCCGTGTTTTCTGTATCCCGGTAGCACCTACAGGGTCTGTTGTAAGCAGCATGGCATCATCATGGGTTGTTTCTTCTTTCTGTCCTTCAGCTTGCTCAGAGAAAAATTCAGGAAATACTGGCTCAGGTAAGAAGGCAGCAGCAACAGCAAAAAACATTGCAAAGCGGACAGCCTCAGCCAAGACGGAAATAAAGGTTTAGGAAATGGCCCATCAGAGACAGATGCCAGACCAAAGACAGACTGTGCAACAGAGAGACGGGTGGTGAGCACCTGTTGAAGTTATATGCAGAAGATCCACCAAGCCAATCACCTGTTCGAGGACCAGGCAACCGTTGAACGCTGTCTCTGAGAATGTATTCTTTAGGCTCTCTCAAACTTTTGAAACCCAGCTTTAAAATAAGGACCCCTTCACTTCCCTTTTGTTCTATTCTCACAATTTAACATAAACTCGTTAGTCTTTTTTATTGTTCTTATTATTCCCCAACAATTTTAGAACTTGGTTTAATGAAGCTTTCTCTTCTGAGTTCACTGGTTAAAAAAAAAAAAAAGAAAAAAGGAAAAAAAGAAAAGGCATTGCTCTCATAGGTCCAGTTGTAAAAGAAGAAACACATTTGGAGGGTGGGATTGTGGGTGGGCTAGGGTTAGAGCAAGGGTATCGACAAGAGTTTAAGTGTTAGTCCCAATGTTGAAACAAGTGGCATTTTTTAAAAAGAATTTGGTTGCATTTTTACATAACACTGCCATGAATAACCTAAGGGAAGTGTTGAATGGTGTTGGCCAGGGCATAAAAAGATAAATATGCATTTTACTAAACTACCTCAGGCATTTAGTACCTCAATGAGAAATTGTTCCTTTTTTGCTTTTTTTTTTTGGTATTTTGTATACTTTATAAAGCTAATAGTTCTTGAGCATTTTATTTTTTTAAAAAAAATTAAAATTTGATCAGCCACCAGCCAGGAGTACTACAGACTTACCGGGGAAAATATAGTAGAGCACTTCTAGCTGCTGGCTGATGGGAGTAAGGTGGGTAAAAAAAACATAGCCTCAGGTTTTCTGAGGGCTTCAACACCATCATTTGTTTAAAAAAAAATTCAGTGAATGTTCAAAAGATAGTGAATGATGCCAACATTCTGATAGCAGCAATGCCGTTTAGTTTTCTTTTAAGATGGGATGAAAAAGTTTGTGACGGTACTTTTTTGGGAACAGGACAAGGAAGTGATGGCAAGAGGCTGGGGTTGGGGGAAAAATTTAGAAGGCTGCAAGAGGCTGAATTTTTTTTTTGTGCTACTTGATTGAATGCATGAACCCTTTGTGCCTTTGACCATCACTACCTAATAATGCTACATTTAACCATTTGCAGCCCATTTGGACTTTGCCATTTTGTTCAAAGAGCAAGCTTCATCTTCAGTTTGATAGAACACTCGATCTGCTAGAGCGTTTGTGAGGCCGCGTGGGTCTCTGCTGTCTGCAGATCACATCATACTGCTTTCAGTTACCACGATGGGGGAAGGTCAAACAGTGTTTGATCACGTTGAAAGATAATGAAAGGCTAAGTTTACATATCCAGCCGCTGTTATGGGCCACACTAAGCCACTTTGAAGGTTTTGAAAACTATTACGAGAAAAAAAGCAAACAAAAAACAACAACCTCTCTAGCCTGGCTTATAATAGATGCAGCAGGATTTATGCACGTTCTGCAACCAACCATTAGAGAAGAAAAAAAAATGTCAAAAGGCAGGGATAACAGGAAAGTTACCAAATTTTTTAATTTCCGAATGTAATTTGAATGATGATTGTGGTAATAGTGACACATTCAAGTTTCTACAATAAACTTCAGTCTACCTCAGTTTAAAAAAAAAAAATGTGGCAACACATGGTGCATAAAGACTGCTGTGTGTGTGTGTGTGCGCGTGCGCGCCTGTATGTGTGTGGTCGACAGAGCCATGCTATTACCTCTGAACCTTTTTTTGTGATGTTTTTTGTGCATGAGATGATCAGAATCACCATGCTGCACTGATTTGAGGGGCACAACGAGCAAAAACATTTGTTTCATCATTTTGTTATCTACCTCTTAGGTTCATGTTGAAATAGAGGCATTACTACATAGACTAGATAATTTTCCCAAAGATCATTGTTGTACAGATTAGATAATTTTGAAAATGGTCTGAAGTGTTTTTCCTGCATCTCTTCTTTACTAATTGGTTTAAAAACCACAAACTTATGTTGTAGATTTAGCAAAGAAAAATGAATTTCTTTTCCTTTTTTGACAGTGACCTTCATCTAGCCTTTAGGATAATTTTTTTTTTCTTACAATGAATTTAAAATTACTGAAGTATGAAAAGTCATAGCATTTTAATTTTTGTTGAGGCTTAAGTCAGTCTGACATTCCTTTCTTAACATTTGAGAAGGATTTGACTTCATTATTTTCCATAAAAAATGACTTTACAAATAGGCGCTGCATTTACATCTACTGATTTAAATACTGTCATATCTCTTAAATTTCTAGACTTAGTATGGTAAATCATGTTTTTCTTTTCAATGAGACTTGGTAATTTGGAGTATTTGGGAATAGCTAGAAAGTAAATACTGTAAATGATTTCAATATCCACAAAGTATGGATCATTTTTCATCTGTAATGTGCCCCCCAATGCAGCTCCACTTGCCAGATGCCTCTGAATGGAATAAAGAGTTTAACTCCTATCATCAGATAAAGTTGTGTGGTGTTTTCTTAAACTAATGAGGCATAATGACTGACTGCTCCACGTGTCTGTGGTGCTTTGATCAGGTTGGTTTTCTGTCTGTTGTAATAACCGGGTAGGAATGAACGGTCACCCACAGGCATCCAGCAGCCAGGTTACGATGTCTGCGCTTTCCAGTACAAGCAGTGACTTCTGTGGCTTGTAATTCCTCATCTTTTTGTCTACCACCACTGTGCAGTCTGTGGAACAGCCCTTAGCTCACCGTGTGTCTCCTGCAGACAAGCTGGGCTGGGTTGCTCTGGAAGGAACGCGTGCTCAAGTCATGACCAAGGGCAAACGTGAAGGAATCTTTTAACAGGCTTGAAGTGAGATCTGAATCGTAGTTACATTTTTTTGGCTGCATTTTACCCAGTCTTTACTTTGGTGCTCTGTGTGGTGCAGCTGTGTAAGGAACACTGCCCTGGAAGTGTAGATAGGCAGAACCAGCCACAGGGAGCACATGTAGAAACTTGCTGCTTGCTCCCCAGCTGCAAGGGGGAGGTGGCACCTCCTCTTGATTTAGGGTAGACACATAACTGAATGCTTTCGGTGGAGATGGAGGGATTTGGGGAACTGGGGTTGTGTTCAGCAATAATTTAACTATCTTTTAAAGTGGAATGGAAAGCCAGGCTTGTTTTCCCAACTCCTGCACCCTCCTACTTGTCCTCACAGTTCACTTACTGGGACTGACCGTTAAAAGGAGGGAGTTGAAGGCACAATGCATGTAGATAACGCCTGGTATGGTTCTGCACCTCACAGAGAGCTCCAGCTCATTGTCCCATGTTGATACTAAGAAACCCTCTCAGAACTGGCATCCCTGCCCTTTGAGCAACATACCTCGAGCCTTCCTCTGTATTGCTGGCACATTTGTGATAGCTCAGCCCCTGACTGTTCTTAAGCATTTGCTTAACCATGATGCTTTATTTGCTTCTAACCTTCCAAAGCTTTTATTCTGAAGCTGCTGTTTCAAAGGCATGCGCTCTTTGTGTTAGCTTCCGTTACCTGAAGCATGTATGCTGTGCAGGACAACACAGGCTCAGCTGGGTGTGGGATTTCTAAATGACTGTAAGAAATCAGGGAGTAGGCACTCAAGCTGGGCTGTAACAGATGTTTGCTCAATTTATGGATGCAAACACTGCTCAATACCCAAGTTACTCAAATGCAGTAAGGGAAATTCTGTGGTATGACAAGTTTCACATTGGAAATTGTTTCTCCTCTTCATCCCATCATCAAGAAATCCTGCATGCACCTCTGCAAGAGGACTGAATGAGGAATCTATAGTCTCCCTGGACCAACCACTCTAGTTTTTAAAATAATTTTACACAAGACTCAACTTATCCATGGAACTGAAACACTCCCAAATGTTTCTCTTTCCAAAGGGGGTTAGTGTTGCACAGGAGCGAGCAGCCAGACCATCTCTGTTAATTCCAAGGTCCCAGCCCAAAGGCTCAGCAAGTTGGGCTGGTAACCTGGCTGGGGTGTTGCAGTAGGGTGGTACAAAGTATGGATTTCTTTTAAATGAGGGGTGAGGAAGTGCTTTTCTTGAGCTGGAAGTTCTGATTAATAGCAATCAGTGACTGTTTCAGCCAACTCATTTTCACAATATGCTTTGACAGTAACTTCAGTTACACTCTTCAGTGCTTGTTGTCTCCTCATTTTTATTTTTACAGTTGGAAAGGGATGACACACACAAAAACACCTTTGATCACACAGCTGTTCCCTATCCCTTACTGTTCTTTTCTGGACTCCCCTGTTGTTACCCTTCTCTGAGAGACAGCACACTGTGTGTAGGTCCAGCTGCTAAACATAAGGTACAGCAGGAACGTGTAACGGCATTGTGTTTGCTGCAGCTGCCTCTACTCATCCAGCAGTGCGCACCTTCAGTAGCAGCAGGAAAAGGTAAATAGTTTCAGGGAACAGTCCACACCTCTCCTGGGAGGTCATGCCAGATGCAGAACCTGTCTCTCTGTAAGAGAGACATTGTTATCTTGCCTCTGGGTTACTCTGCAGTAAGCAAAGTATCATGAAGTGTTTTGCAAATCTGGCAAGTTTACCACAAACACCTTTATTTTGTGTTCCTTGTATAAATGTTCCTTGTTTAATTTGGAGAACTATCTGCTGCCTTCTAGCAGAAAGCAGAAGAATTCAGAGGCGGTTCTTCCTGAAAGAGGCTAGACACAGGAGGGTAACATAAGCAGCCTGAAATGAGGCTGCTCCCCCTCCCCCCCAAAAATAAACACACAAAAAAACAACAACAACAAAAAACTTTCTCTGGGCACTGCAACCAGCAGCTGCTATGTAGGAACAAGATGCTGTCAGCACTTAAAGTAGGTTATGGGGTAAAAGGCGACCACCCTCAGCAGCCACTGCTCCTCCTCCCTGATGCATGGCAGGGCCAGCTTCAAGAAGAGATTCTACTCTACTGCTGACAGCTCTGTCCTGGAGCAGAAAAAAATATCTTTTACCTAGAGACAAGTTTTTTTTACCAACTTGAAGCTCTTCTAACCACTGCTGACCTGTCCGACAGCAAGTCATGCTGAGTGCTAAGGGCTTCCTGCAGAACATTCCCCCACCTCCAAGGGGCTGAAGGTTTAGGCTGCCACAGCACATTGCCTTGGTTCCTTTTCTAGAAACGAGGTGAGAGGAAAGCCCAGAGATGGGCCAGTAGCACACTTAAAGCAAGCCGCATGTTTTAGTGTGAAGGCACAGAGCTCAAGCTCTTCAGTTTATTATTGTTATTAAAAACAGATTGGCCTTGGCTGAAGAAGTGACTTACTGCTCTGTTAATTCAAGACACATTTATTTGTCACTGCTGCTCTTTTATGCGCTCAGTAATGCCATTATGTTTTCTCTCCTCCTTCAACTCAGCACATGATTTGCTTCAACATGACCAGAAGCAACTGGCTTAATAAAAACCTCATCTAAACTGCACTGTTTATCTCATGGTTCACCTTGCAGCACTCGGCCTTCTCACAGGACAGGTACTACACGTGCACTGCCACTACGGGCAGGCCTTTCAAAGGTACTAGGAAAATGATCAGTGCAGAGGCAATGCCCGCGCTTCAGGGTAAGCTGCAACGGAGCAGGGAAGAGCCTTCTATTGCAAACTCCACTGAGGGAGTGACTCTCCCAGGACGCTCCCTTGTGATACGGTTCCTTCTTTCTCACATTCTGGTAGCTCCTTCAGCAATTTACCCAGGCACATCCAATAAATGCATCGTTTTGTGCTGACCAACTGCACTGATGGTTGAGTCAGCATTGAAGCCCACTGCCTCTCGTGTCTGTTAAGGCACTCATTTCTCTTGCTACTCGCCACCTCAGCAGCTGCCTTCAGTTCTTGTCACAAGATGATGACCCTTCCCACTGCTGTTGGGAAGTCAGCCCAAGAACAAAGTCTTCTGGCAGTGACTGTGGAGTCATCTGCGTTAACTGGTCATCGTAGGAACCCAGAGTCCACAACTTCTCCAGCTCGTAAGTCTCCCGTGCCTCTGGCAGCATGAAGTGCACCACTATGCTACCTGCACAGAACAGAAATCCACATCAAATGAGCAGTAGGGAGCGAACCGTTCTGGGCAATCCATCAGATAAGTTTGAAAATATTCACGTTCATGTTCTCTCTTTCAGAGGGTGAGATTACAGAGACAGTGGTGAAGGTGAAATGCTGTCGAAGGTAAAGTCTTCATGTTTGTGTAGAGAGTTTCACACATGAAGAACCAGGAACTGAACTCGGTTTCTTTAGGACTGTGGTTTTACCCAGTGCCATGGTATGACCCAGACAGTGCCGAAGTCTGTTCAACAGCTCATGACTACGGCAGCATACAGAGAGCCCCGGCTCGCCCAGGGATCATATAAACATGAGAGAATTTACTGAAGTAGCTTCTCTCTTGCTACTGTTATCTTCAACTTATTAAGACCTGTTTTAGCCACTGATGAGTAGCTTCTACTTTCTTTTCAATGCCCACAATTTTAGTGAAAATTAAGTTAGTAACTCAATAAAAACAACCGGAATTCCAAAACAGCAGAGTATTTTCAACTCTCCACAGCAGCCAGGGCTCACAGTGAGATGTGTCCTTAATAAAGGGCCCATGCAGAACTTCATATAGGTCAGATCCACAAATACTCACCAAAATCAATGCACAGCCAGTCATCTGTCTCCTTCCCTTCGATCTGAGCACGAGGATCGCTGTCTTCTTTCTGAAGCTTGTACTGGGAGAGAAGCAACAGCAGAAAGTGGAATACTTCACATTTATTTAAAAGCATTCAAACCTAAGGTATAGGTTCCCCATGACTGCCATTACCATCACGTTTTGCTTCGTTTCAGATGCCTTTAGGTGTTTTGTGCTGGCTAGCTAAGGATGCAGAAATGGAGATGCCCAATGGCAAAGGGGAGGTGGGGAGAAAACAGGTTTGACCTGGTGTCATGAGGAAGGCGTCCAAACAAGCTTCTTGCCCCTTGAGAGTGTGCTCTGAACACTCGTTGCAAGATGGAGAACATACAGCTGGCATACGGGTTTACAGGCTATGAGTTACTGTGACAGAAGGGAGAACAAAACTCAAAGCAGGACTGTGAAATCTCAGCTGGGGCAAGGTAGGCAGTTCACCATGCAGTCCTGTGACATTTTAAGTACCGTAACAGCAAAGCCAGCCAGCTGCCCCAGCTCCTGCCATGCTTCACCTCACTTTTGCCTACAAAACTCTTTAACACCAGGCAAGCCAAGCTTCCCAGTTTCTCAGCACACAGGAAGACCTCGTGTCTCTCCCCAGAGGCTCTGCTCTGGGGAGAGACGGTCCTGCAGCCACCAGAGGGAGCACACTGTTGTACTACACAGGTATTTTTGCAGAGTTGGGGAGTATTCATCTCTCTTTAGAGTGAGTGGTAACAGCTATGAAGTTTGCTGGACAGAAGTCAGACATGGATACTAGTCACCAGCACCATTTCACATCACTGATGGATGCTCTCATTCTAGCCACCAAACTGTGCTACTGCCATCAGCGTTCTAAATACAGAGAGGGCTGTTTTTAAAATATAACCTCCACATACTGAGTACTGTCACTATAAGAGAAAAGTACAGTTAGTTGGTAGGTGTATTCGGAAATAAATGGCATAAGCACAATTAGTTTCATCTTACCTGGTGTATCTGTACAGCTGCAAACCTAGGGAAATTAATTTCAGAGCATCTCCACCTAAAACCAGTCCCAAAAACCTAGAGAGGGCAGTGGGAGCTGTCTTACCATTTTCATCATATAATTTGCCATTGCATGGAGATGCCGTGTTGAAGATCCACTCACAACGATAAAATAGTTACAGTATTTCATTTCTGGAGGTACTTCGATAACGCAGATGTCTTTTGCATTTTCTTGCCTCAGCAGAGCTACAACAAAGTCAATGTTGAACTTTGCAGTATCTGGAACAGAGAAAGAATTAGAGAGTGGTAATTTCTCTTAAATTGCAAGCATCAGTCACTCTGAAAGTTATTAAAAACACAAAACAGCAATGAACTAAATTATAGCCTAAGCTAGTCACTCACTGTGAAGTTTGGTCTGATGCTGACAATCCAATGTGGAAGACTTTTAAAAGCCATTTCTTAAAATCATCAAAGCTGAGTACTAAGCACGCTCCTCATAAATAATGCCCTGTAACTAGACAGAGCAAACATCCCAGTTTCTTTTAGCTAACTTACTTAGTTCTCCTTATTCGTAAGTATTAGAGTCAGTATTATCATCAGACACCTAATGATTAAGATGAATGAAACCTAGGTACTTCAACAGACATTCTTTTCAAGCCCATTAAAAATATTTCGAAACAATGCTTGTCAACAGGCCCCAGCAGGCCTGTGACAATATGTGGTGACGAAAGTACTCCAAAATTTCAAGTAGATGGGATCAATGTCAAAAATGGAGCTGATGTGATGCAGTGGGCAGCCACTTCTTTCACTTACTTTACTTCTCCAGCCTGCTCTGCCACAGAGCCATGCAGGTTGTTAGAGACCTCCGAGCTCACCTGCCCCAACCACCCCCTGCCACCACTGCCACCCACCAAACCCTGCCCCACGCCCCACTCCCAACCTCTCCTTCGACACCCCCGGGGCCGGTGACCCCACCCCCTCCCTGGGCAGCCCGCCCCGCTGCCTGAGCGCTCTCCCTGCGGAGCAAAGTCTCCTCATTCCCAACCCGGACCCCCCGAGCCGAGCAACGCGCCCAAGGGCTGCCCCCACCCCCTGCCGAGGGGCCGGAGCACAAAATGGCGGCGGCGGCGGCCCCGGCCGCCCCTCACCGCGCCCTACCTGCCGCCCGCCGCTGCTCCGCCACCGCCCTCAGCACCCCGCTTCCTCCTCCTCCTCCTCCTCCTCCTGCTCCTCCTTCGGCCCCCGCCGCCGGCCCGAGGAGCGGCCGCGGTCCGCGGGCGGCGACAGCGGAGCGGGGCCGAGCCCCAGCCCCCAGCCGCAGCAGGCGGCGCCCCCCACGCAGCGCCCGCCACATCCCCGCCGGCCGCCCTCTGCCGCCACCGCCCGCCCCCGCACCGCCATTGGCCAGCGCTGCGCCCGCCCTCGCACCTCATTGGCTCGCCCCGCTGTCGGTCCGGGGCAGCCGTTGGGCGCGTGCGCAACGGTCACCTCGAGGCTGAGGGGGCGCCGGGCTTCGAGTTCGGCGCCTCAGGCTTGGGGCTCCTCAGGCTTGGGACGCCTGCTATAGTTTGGTCTAAGAAAGCTGCAGCTGGCTTGAAAATAGAAATAAATACACTTATTTTTAACTGGGGATAAAAGTAAACTTACTCCACTCCCTGAAGATGTGAGCATTTACACTGATGCATAAAAAAATGACTGTTCTGTTTTTCTCCCCCTCACAAAGTGATGATAATAACAATGGTAATAAGACTTAAGAGGCATTATCTTTTTATTCAAACACTTTTAGTGATGAAAGCTTTAGTTTTAAATAAATTCAACTCTACTGTACAGGGCTGAAGATGTTCAGTATGATGCCACGGTATCTGGATGTGTCTTACAATGTTTGGTTCCTTTACGGTTCCTTCAGGAGCTGGCATTTTTTAGCCTTATTTTCATCTCAGAAATGCTTTTAATAAGGATGTTAACATCTGATGAATCTCTTAATTGTGTGCTATAAAATGCGTTCAGCAAATAGGGGGAGGACAAACAAAACAAGCTGCTTGAAACAGTACTTCATTTTTAAGTAATTTTTAAACAAACTTGCTACCCAGCTAACGTTTCTGTTTCTCTTGGTGGCGTGTTTGAAAATGTCGTTTTTAAAGACGATGCACATTTATGTCTGATGTTATTCTTTGATGTTATTTCTCCAAAGGGAATATTTCTCCAAAGGGAATGCCTGAAACCTATCCATATTAGAAACATAGAATATTGGGGTTGGAAGGGACCCACAAGAATCATCGAGTCCAGCTCCTCTCCCAAAACAGGACTACCCAAAAAATCACCATATGACTAAGAACACGTTTGCTGACATTCACAAATCTGTTGTTTGTCAGCTGTTCTTGCCTTTGATGGACACGAAGATCGTTTTTATCCTGATCTCTTCCAAAATTGAGTTCCACAGCCATTGTGTGGTTATCAAGGAAGTTTCCCCACTTCTCAGGTTCATGGTGCTGTTGTTCTAAGTATCCTTGAATAGCAACAGCAAACACTGCTGGATAAGCAATAATAATAAGTAATACCAGATACGCATAAGTAAACTAAGACTAAGGCAAATTCGTATCTGTTTTCTGGCGGTACGTATTGTTTTGATCAGTAATTAGAAACTCATCAAGTCGCCTATTTGACCGTCTCTTTTTGAGATAAAGGAGAAGTACTCTTTACAATCATTAGGTGGTTTATTTGTCAAGACAGCAGTTAAACGTTCATTTGTATAAAACAACAGATGTATGGAAGGGAAGTTACAGTTGAAAAGGCAAAATCAAATTATAGAAATTTAATATTCTGACATTATAGCTAAAGGAAGATAGTGTATGCTATACTGTATACACAGGTGAAAGGTGAAAAAAGTTCTTTAAGTATATCTGAGAACTGTTTTCTGTACAAAGGCCTAAGATGTCTCTGAGCTCCCAAAATGCAGTGTTCTACAGAAACAAGATGCTTTCTGCATAGAGCTTAGGTCAGCCACGTGCATCATCACTAATCCTGAGTGTTATAACTGTGATAGACATAATTTTTTCATGCTTCATTACAGATTTTCTTAAGCTTTTGACTAAACCCCTGTCCTGCAACAAGTCAAGAGTCAAACATTACAGGGGTCATAACATTCCGACAACAATTTTTGTAGGAACTGTTCTCTGTTTAAGTCAGAGAATCATTTTAGATGCCCAGTTATGGTTAGATAATAGCTTGTTATACATATGGAAGACAGAATAAAACCAAACATGGTGCTTTTAATAAAATGTCAATGTCTGAAATGGCCACAAAAGAATTAAAACAAATGGAGAATATGGAAACAAAAGAAGAAAAGAGGTTGTTGCATTTTATAGCTAAAGAACTAATCTCAGAGGTATGCCACAATCTGTATTTTTTATATCCTCAAGTCGTGTCTATGCACTCTGGGGAAGTGCTAATGAAGACTACATTCAGATTGTAAGTGACAAGCATTTGACAGGTCTACGAAGATACCAGAAAAATCTGTTTATGCTTTTTATTGCTGCAGGAACCGAGAACAATATGTATCAGAGATGTTCCAAGATACAGTAAATAAGCTAAATATATCAAAATATAGCTCTTCAAGGAACAGGATTGTGCAAAGGCATTTGCCCTTAGCTGAAAGTTAATTTCATTTTGATTAGAAACTTTAATGTTAACAGTAAGGCACTTATGAAAAACAAACTGTTTAAAGCATTTTTTGGCCTGCTTTCTCATCTCAATTAATCTTCTTAGCAACCTTTTGCCTTCCACAAATAAGATGTTCTCCTTTTCATATTATCCAGTGACCCAGTGTGCTTCCCTTCAGCAGTGTGCTTCCAGTCTTCCACTACTAAATGCCACAAAGCAGACTTAGAAGAACATACAGCTAGAACACTGTGTCACTTGGGAAAAGCTTCCATGTAAGTTTTGTTAATGCAGAATTGCAGCTACAGTGAGCAAGTCAACATGTTTTGATTTTTTGCAAAACTTTACACTTTCTATGCTTGATCATGCAAAAGCAAAAACTGGAGCACAGTGCGTTATTTACATTTAGGGGGTTTTCATTTACTTGAGTAAGTGTTCAAAGAGAAGGGATGGAGGGTCAAGCAGAAATTAGTGCTTCTTTAAAAGTAAAATGTTTCAGCAGGAATAGCCAAGCAGATGGGCTTTGTCTGTCGTGGCAATGTTTTGTTCCACAGACATAACCCGTACCTGTCCGCCTGTAGCTTGCTTTCCAGCAAAGGCATGGCTCTCACTAAGGTGGTAAACAGCTGTGCTGGACTGTGTATTTAAGACCAAATATTTACAATTCTTTATTTTCTTTGTTTAGTAATATTTTTTCCCCCTACAGGTTATGGATCTGATTAGTTTCGCAGGTAGTTAACCCAGAAGTAAGAAAACACAGATGGAGGGGGGGATTAGTTATTTAGAAAACTATATCCTAGATCACAAACAAGAACAGCAAGTGCTCAAAACTAACTGTTTTATAATAAGGACTATTTTAATATTTCTAATTGCACCAAGCCCCCCAAAGTTACCCACCAATCTATGTGTGTTTTCCCCTCGCCCCTTGTTTTTATAACAAAAACAAACCAAAACCCCAAACCATCAAGGTACAGCTCAGATATGAGTCCTGTACGTAATCTAGTAGTGTCAGACTAAAGGTTTAAACAATGCCTGGTTTGGTTTTCAAGAGAGGATTTCTCTCAGTGCTCCTAGGGAAGAAAAAGGCTTTGAAATTGCTGAAGTAAGCACTTAGTCCCTCCTGGTTCTCTGCTTGTCCTGCACTTCTCTCGATAGGTTTATATTGTTTGTATCTCCTGCAAGAGAAAGAATGTGTACAGTTAGTTGCTGGAAGACATTTAAACAAAGATCCACATGTAGTGTGCAACCAGCACGTAAGAGAGTTAATCGTGTTCATAGCATATATTCTTTTTTCTCTTTCCCTCTTAAATCCAAAAAAAAAAAAAAAAATAAATAAAAATTAGTTAGCTGTGACTAAGGCCTGGTTAATGAGAAGGCAGTGTTGCACTGAGGAGTTCTGGTGCTCCATGGAAATGTTTCTTTCTCGCCACTGGCTCTTAGGGCTGAGCACACTCTTGACTCAGGAGTCTCAGTGCAGTCTTAAAGTTTCATGAGAAATGTCCAAGCCAGAAATGCAGTAATATGTGCTTCTTTTAACCACTTTCCTGCAGCCCAGTATCCTTTTTCTAAACAATCTGTCAATTTTGTAATGAAGTATTTTGACGATTAATTCTTAATCTGTCAGTCATTCACAAACAGTACTTGTAAGAGTTTTAATGCTAAATTAAATTTCTATTTGTTAGGTTTTAATGCATATGTAAATCACATCATGCAGCTTGAATTTGCTTACTGCTTACATGCAGTTCGCAGGCTGCCTTTTATTACTAATTTTTCTAATATTTACATGTTTTGTGATGATTTTGTGGTTTAAGGCAGTAATCTCATTTTCTTGAATATTTGCTAGAATATTTGAACAGCAATAAAAAAAAAGAAACAAAAATATAGCTAACACAAACTTAAGCTGTAGGTTTTATTAATTTAAAGTAATATCCTTGTCAGTTCCTTGAACTACTTTTAATCTTAGCCACTAGTAACTTACTTGTAAAGGACAAAAGCCCCAACAGAGGCAAACACTGCCATCAACCCAAGGAAGATGAAGACACCTTTTGTTGTTCCTGGGGATGATCCTAGAGTTCAGAAATAGGTTGATTAAGTGTTAGCCTTGTTGTTACAGTAAGATAGACTTTCTAAAGAAAATGTCATTTTAATTTGATTGCTGCAAAGATTGAAGCACGCTTAATACTTCTCATATTGGAATGCAAGCTAAGCATTGGAGGTCAGTGACTTTGGCAGGCGGTGGTGTTTTCACAGCCTGATCAGTTTAACTCTCAGTACCAGCAGGCTGTGACTTGGGCTTTGGTTTTGCACGAGCCATGCTCCAGAGACACACAGTGGCCCTTCCAGTGTGGGAGGGAACTGAAGTGCTTGCTGGCATCCCACGAGGTGGTGCTAATTTGCTCCTTGCCAATCGCCTTGACCATTTGCACCAATAAGCTGTGATGTGAGAATCAACTTCTGCTTATTCTTAAGGGTGATAGCCAGGGAGAAAGGAAAAGGGAATAAAAATTGAGTTCCTTAAATGTTCTGCATCTTTGTTTCAGCCCCACATGCTAAGATAGCAAAGCATGGCTGAGAACCTGATGAACCCAGGCTCGTTTTCCTTATTTAAGAGGTGAGGGCTCTGCTTTTTTAACGTTCTCAGTTCTGGGAAATTAACTTTGGGCTTTGCCTGTCATTGAGCTCTGCCTTCTGGTTTGTCATTAAGCATTTCACTCATATCTACTCCTAATTCACTGTATATGATGGAAGAAGGTGAATCATTACAAGTATGTTTTTTGTGTTAATTTTGTGTTAAATTTGTGTTAAATATCTTAATTTTGCAGTTCGCAGACTGTACTTTGACCTATTTATTGAGTTTGCTGAGATGGATATACATTGTTGGTCCTCACATTATCTACAGTGTTTATACAGTGGAGTAATCTAGAAGTGCATGTTGGTTTCCCTTTCCATTGTATTAATTTATAGTTGATATCTATAAAATCAAGATATCAAGATATCTAAGTTGATATCTATAAAATCAAGATATCAAATCCGGATTTACCATTTATTCGTTACATGTGCCTCATGCATTTTTCAGTTTGTTGATAAAATATTTGTGAAGGCTTGCCCTCATTCCCAGTTTACACAGTATTTTTGCTGAGAGTGCAGAGATTTACATTATTTTATTAATAAGATAGATCTTTGAATTAGTTTGCAAAGGAACACACATTGATGGGCCAGGTCTAAGTCATAGGACTGCAACCCTTTCAGCAGTTTTTGTACAATGCCTGCATAACCCAGGCACAGTCCTTCTAAACTTCAAAAGACAGGTGTTCAGGTATTCTCAGGCACCAAATTATAGGATTTTCAGAAATTCATAAATACTTGCATTCCCTTGAAATGAGTAGAAAATCATGGCACACGGGAAATGGTTGGAAATGCCAGATGGGCTCCTATGGAAGGTGATTCATAACAGCAACCTTTCTTAGATCCTAATTCTGCTATGATTATAGCTGAAGCCCCAAAATACAACTTAGCTTTTCTTCCTAGAGGAAACCTCGGGAGACAGTCTTTTGGGGCTAAATTTAGTCTCTGTGAATAAAGTTTTGAAAGATCCTACTGCATGCTTATTTTCATCTTCAGGAGCCTAAATACATTTAGAGGTCAGGAATTGTGTCTTAGTCACCACAAACTGATTTAGGTACAGCTAATTTTATACCTAGATAAAATAAAAGCAGCCAAAAATACTGTGACAAATGCCCGCAAAGGGTCAGTTTCTTGGCTGATGCTAATTAAAGCACTCAGAAGAATCACTAAGATGTTGTAGTGGGAGGTCAGAAGGGGAATGGAATGGGGTGGGAGCAGAGAGACATCATGATCATTTGGGGTTCTACTTGAGACCAAGTTTAATACCTGGTTCTGTCAAAGACTGCTTGGTTAATTATGAGCAAGACACAGTTATAGTCAGCTGAACAAAAGTAAACCTTCTGTTCTGAAATAGCTGCCCTGGGCACACTTTGTAGTCAGTGAATGACACAGGCCTTTCCAGAATCTGATTCATCTTATCCCAAAGTAGAAATAGAAACCTGGTCAAGATCAATGGGCTACAGAGAGGGCTCAGGGCAGCTAGCTCAGCTGTAGGCTTTTATTCTCTTTCAAGTGAACTGAATTCCGCTCTTAGTTTCTCCTGTTCCTCCATGTGCAGAGTAGACTGGCATGTCCCTCACCTACTTTTCTGTCCAATAGAAAAAATAAACTACAGCTTAAGAGCACTATATTTTGTGATGCTGAAGGGTTTGTGCAGTTGCTGTACTCTTTAGATTGTACACATAAATCAAATCAAGTTCTAACATCTAAGGTTTCCATAGGAAAGGAGTTATCTCTTACTGTTGTATGGACTCTCACATAAGATGGCACAACCTCAGCTGAGGCCTCCAGGCATGCTAAAACCCCTAGAAACCCTCCTGTGTTCTCCCCCCAGCAGCGAAATGACCACAAGGAGAAGCTGTTCACGGACAACCCACATCAGCTCTGTGCAGACTCACCTCTGTTCACAGAAATCAGCGCGCTGGCAAGGGCTTGACTTGTGTCGTCCCCTAGGGTGATGTTTATGCAGTATGTCCCAGGTTCGTCAAAAGCTCTCCTTATGGTGAGTAAGCATTCATCGGTGATGACGACGGGGTCACATACCACACCCTGAGACACCTGGCACGTGGGGTCAGAAACTGCTGTGCAGACATCTGTGGGGAGACTGGGGTGGGAAGACAGAATGCATCACATCTGTCAAGTCCTATTAGGACAGCTTAGAGACACATTGCACCGATGCCCCAGTATTATGCTGGTGCCTGGTTACTCAAGTCAGTGATACTACAGTGATTTATGAACAAGGTATCGATATATTATCTGTACTTTATACATACCTCTATATTTTATATATACACACGTGGTGTCTATATGTCTATAAATTTGTCTGCTTGTTTCCATATTTAGCATTTTATCGTGATCACAGAAAAAAATGCCTCAAATCAGCTTATAAAGTTTGTTACCTTTAATGCACATTGTTATGAAAGAAATGAGGATTCTTATGTGTAATATCATATGCTGACAAAGTGAACACTAACTTAAGAGAGGTTAATTGTTTTCTGGTTGTGTTGCCAAGACAATTCTTGTAGTTCTCAGTCCTCTCAACTCAAATGTTCTTCCAGAAGCCAGGGATATTAGTGCAACATTTTCCTCTCCAAGAAATTGCTTGGACACACCCATTTACTCTAAGTGTCAAAAAATCATGGCCAAAAAGAAATGGTTTCCTTCCAATTTCAGTAGACTGCTTCCAATTTCACAGTGAGTGCTGAAAGCTCGTCTTTGCCAGAAAAATATAGAATTACTTCTCAATATCTAGTTCTCTTACTTTTACTTAGGCCTGCCATTTGTTCTGAATCCTAAGAGCCTGGCAATAACCTCTGTTGACATAGTTTACAAATGAGACTTGCATTATCTTTAGTTCCAGTCAAGAAATAGAAACACTGTGGTTCCCAGCTTTAGTTCATTCAGCTGCATCTAAGTGCAGACAGTGTTCCAGCACCTAATTATTTTTAAAGAGGGAAGATGATTGACAATTTCATTTACACACTTACCTCCCTTGGCAGGTAACAACAAAGTCAACCAGTGAATTTTCAGCTTGACTTTCTGTCATCTGGATGCTTGTCATCTGAATAATATTTACCTCAAGGATTCCCTCTGGAGAGGAAACAGATGTCAACTGTAGGACACATGACAAGCCTGTGTGTACAGAACCTCAAGTGTTTGGCTGATGCTCAGGTCAAGTCTTGTTTTCCATAACCTTCTCCCTCCCTCAGCACTCATTTTGAAGGGTTTGAAAGCTGTGAAATGTTCCAGTGCTTTCCCTGTGAGGTTGCTCCTTTCTGCTCCACTTTATTTTTCTTTTATAACTGGTTAGTTATTTCTATTACAAAATCACCTCCACTTCCCATTAACCACAACTTCTGTGCGTGCCAAGGTCTACTCAACCTAATGTGACCCCTCAGGCCTGTACATTTGGGGTGTGCCAGTTTCAGAAACTGGTGATACAGAAAAGAATGAAAGGTCTCACATTCCCACCAGCCGTTTCCCAGCCCAGGTGCTTAGAAACCCACGTGTAGCATAGGGGCAACCATCTGAAGGCATCAAGATCAAGGCTCAGACTCACATGTCTGAAACCAACGCACCGTAACATCTGCTACTGACCTGACCTGGTAGAATGTGTAGAAGCCAAAGAAAGCCAGTTAGCTATGTGCACATCAATCTTTAAAAATGTCAGCTATGTCCAAGAGAAGGATCTTACTGTGGGTCTCACTAATCTGATAAAAGTGTGGCTCAAGTAAACACCATCTTTACCATACGTATAGTACATTATTAGCCCCATTTTGCTCCAAGCATTGACTCGTGACCTTACCTACAATGGAGAGACCAGTTGTATAGTATCCATTTCTGTAAATATGGCAACCTCCATCAGGATTGTCTTCCATTGTCTCAGCAGCAGCAGAATAGGTTGAATTAGAAGATGCTTCAGAGATGAAGGAAGAAAAGTAGCTTTACAATGAGTTCTGCTTACAGGTATTCTGAACATGGCTATATCCTTCAACTGCATTCATGTCATACGTCATGGATTATCTTGCTTTACAGTTATGCAGTATATATTTATCCGTATGGGATCATTGTAAGAAAACACATGTGGTGAGCTGTTCTGTAGAACCCTGGAGTGGCCTAGATAGTTTCTGTGTAGTTGCCTGTCTCTGTGAAGTAAAAGTGAGACTGCAAGGTTCGGTATAATTAAACAAGTCTTTAAAACTCCCTCATCAATAGTAGAATAAATCCAAAGGCCAGTAAGAGCCTTAAAATGCTCTCTTTAAAAGTAGGTATTTTTCCATTGCTCTACATTAGAGCTAGTAGGGAAGTAGTGAAAATTCTGTCTTTCATTTTTCATTCTCACTTACCATTTCATTAAAAAAATAAAATCCTGACATTTGAAAAATATAGTCAGATTTACAATTTAATAGTGGTACTGTTCCAACTACCCAGCCTTAAACTGCAGTCCTTTTGCAAACCTTAATAAAACTTTGAGATGATAAACCAATACTGAATATAATGAAAGTTATTCGGAAATGCAGTAGTGCATAAATGTAAAGTGGAAGAGCCATTCTGGGTTAATGCCATCTGAAAATCCCATATTTTTAAATATGAGTACATTTTTTCTAGTTCAATTCAATCTCATTTAATTTGGGTTGGAAGTTAACGCAACCTAGAAAGGAACAGGCTATAAGAGTGTTCTGAAATACCTCTTCCTCACTTAAAATTTGCGTCTTACCTCAGAATATGCCTCTGAGTAGGCAAGAGTGAAACCACTTGATCTGGCAAAGCAGAAGGTAAAAAAACAAATGCGTATATGCTGAGTCCATCTGAACACCTATTTGTGCTGTCACTGTGGTGGTATAGCTAGATTTAGTGCAATCGATAATTAGGTTTTTAAATGTGTAAATGATGTCTGTGTTTATTGATTCTGTCTTTAAACCAATTTATAGACTGTTTACAGAGCTACACAGAGCTCCTAATATCACTGCTGATTGACAAACTCTTACCTGCTGAGGTGGGCAGTGGTGGCGTAGGTGTTACTGGCCTGCAAGGTACAGGTATAATAGCTTGGACAGTTAAATTCAGAGTGAAGTTTCCTTGCAGAGCATAGGTGTGGGGTGTGGTGGCACCGCTTGCTACAAATAAGCCGCTTCCATCTCCAAAGTTCCACTTGTAGGAAATGGCAGAATTATTTAGGTAGTAGCTGGGATCATGGATCTTCACATCAAATGTGATTGGCGAGTCTTTGATAAAAATGGAGTCTGAGATGTTGCGGTCATGTTTTTGGTACATACTCACAAATATTGGAATTTTTTCTGCCAGGAGAAAAGAAAAAAAGGAAGAAAATAAATAAACCATGTATATCTGGCTGCAAGCAACAAACAGCTCCAAAGCTTCTGAACAGCAACAGTCAGAATGTGAGACATTAATATTATTATATGGGTTTCCACTTTAGTTTGATTTACCGATCTGACAAGTTAATGTTAGTGGGAAACAGGTACCCAGAAAAGTACAGGAACAAATAAGGAATCACAGGCATCTGTGGAAACCATGTTTCCTCTAGTAAATCATGCTTCATCACAAAGTAGAGTTGTCAAAACTGAGACAGGTACAAACATAAATTACATTATTCAAGGCAATTTACCAGATATTTCACATTTGTATTAAGAACCTTTCTCAGCCTTCTTTTCATGCCAGATGATGTTTGTGCTGAATTCTTATAACACCTAACCAACAAATACCCCCAGTATTTTATCAGTTTATTTCAGCACACTCACCTGTTACAACATAAATGGCACTTGCTCTTGCAATTGGAATGTATGTTGAGTGCCCTCTCCTGTAAATGGATACTCCCATTACGTGTTTGCCAAGAGTGATATTTGCTGTGTTGACTGAAAAAATCACTGAAGATCGTCCAATTATTTCATAGTACTGACCTGAAACAGAACATGAACTTGTAATATGTTTTCTCCTTAAGGCCAGCTACGAAAAATCGTTTCTGAGGACCTATATCTCTGTGAATCTTAGATTGTCTAAATCAAAATGTACAGTTCAGAATTGTCTTTCAGTTATCTGGTAAGTGTTTCTAGAGCACTTTTTCAATGTGTTTACTCCCATTATTTCTGTTTTTTTTTTTTTGTTTGTTTTTTTTTTTTTGTTTGTTTGTTTTTTTTTTTTTTTTTTTTTTTTTTCCAAAGGTGTCAGATGTCCCAGATTTCACTGATCTAAGAAAGGGCATTTGCCAAGGCATCTTCATCTTTCCAAACAAATTGTGTTATGTTATTAGGATTACGTAGTGGATGGTATTACCTCTTAGGCATTTTAAGTCATCTTGTGTTTGTTTGCCTTCAGTGTAGCAAAAAGATATAATGCCTCTTGCTTCGTACCCCAGAACCCTTTGCATACATTTATTCATTTTTCTTCATGTCAGCAGACTGAGGTAGGTATCACCTCTATGTAAAATTAGGGACATTATTACTTGGAATGATACTAATGGTAATGCTGAGTTTCTCAACCTAAATCAGGATACTAAGATTCAGTATGTAGCCAATGTCAGGAATAGCTCAACCATTACATACTCACAGCTGGAAAATCAGCATCTGTGACCAGAACAGTATGACATGGTCAATGACAATTTTCACCTTCTTGCCAGAGTCAAGATGTGCTGTACCATTAAATTGATCTGAACATATACAGCTCTGTGTTCTCTCTTAAATTTAAGAATCTGAAATGGCAGTGACTGGTCAGTAAGTCATCTGACTGACCTGCCTAGACCCTCTGTTTTCCTAGGAAAGTCTCTTGAGTACTATGGAAAGGAAATTATTTTTCTTCAGTGGTAGTTCTGTGAATGCAGACTTGAAGATCTGGTAATACATGTTTTCCAAATCTAGTAGAAGATAACATAACAATTGGTGGCCTCCCTGGAAAGTGGGGAATGAATTCAGAGTCTCCACTAAAGAAGTGTGGAATCTTGTTAAGGACTTTTAACGAAAGATACTGGTGAAATGAGTTGAGGTACAGAATGAATGTAAGCTTTGCAGAATCAGCCACACTGAGGTATGTTGCAGTACTAACCGAATGTATGGAACAGGTAGACAAAGTGCCTTCTTCTCCAGCCAGGATTATGAGGGAAAGGTCTCCCATCTGGGAACACATTATGGCTGTGGTTGCCTGTGCAGTTTTCCCAGCCACAGCTGTCAATCCATTCAGTCCAGTTGTAGACATACTGATCCTGGGAAGCTGGGAAATCTAAATGTAGAAACAGGACATGTTCCTGGTCAACTGAGAATTGTGCAGTAAATGAGGAATCAGGAGGCAAACACCCCAGGTTACAGCAAAGTTTCTGCACTTAAGCAGCAGGGTAAGTGGGATATTTTTAGACTGACATTCAGTTCTCCCAAGATTGTCCTTTGTTTTTGTTTTGTTAGTTTTTGTTTTTAGTGTAAACACCACATTTTTCTTGCTTGGAACCATTTTGTTTAGAGGATTAAAAAATTAGTATAATAGGCCAGACACAATTTAAGTTGCTTGTCCAAAAATTTCTGTCAACTGCACGCAATTCTAGTGTTTCACTGAAGCTAGTGAATTTGCCCTGGCATTTGGCAAGCATAATTTTAAATTTTGAGTAGAAATGGCAGCCATGGAAACACTGTGAGGAAGTGACTTATTTTGTTTTGTCAAAATAATTTTCTATGGCACCTTTAAATAACTTAGACATGAATTTCAGTTCCTTTCTGAATAATGAAAAGACAGTTTCCTTCCTCAAACTGCACAACAGACATTAAGTAGAAAATGGTTATCAACAGTTAACAAAGCATTAGATGGTGATAAAGTAGAACATAGGCTGAAAAAAATGTTGATATGCCTTGAAATGAAAATTACTGGCAGCTTCAAACATTGAAGTCATTATGTTTTTGGTTTTTTTTTTTTTTTTTTCCTCATGGAGCATATACATAACATAAAAAAGGTGATTCTCTGATGAAGAGATTGCTTGTTTTTTAAATGCTTTATTTATTTTTCTTCTTGTTTCCAATTCTTAAAATGGGGGAATGTGAGACTTACACTTTCTTGTGAGTTTTCCAAGATACAAAAGATTGCTAGTGAGTTCTACAGTATGTAATTAAAAAAAAAAAAAAGCAACAACAACTCAATTTTATAAATAGACAGTTTTGCAAATTTTGACAAAAACAGTGTGACTGAGAGATCAGTTGAACCTGTACTCTCCCAGGGACTGTTCAACCTTGCGATTGAGCTGAAAAGCAGCACCAGTTTTGTTAGGAAGCCAAATTAAAGCCAATTAAAGTATTTTGGGAAGCCATTTTTATACTCAAGACAAATCTCCTTAAATTACTTGGTCATTATATGTAACAGGTGCAGAATGCTAAAAATACTACAGTGATCTTCTGAGGAACGAAAAAGGTACGACCCAGGCTAGACACTAGTGTAGTTATCAGTTAAAAGCACCATGACTGTTCACGATTTCAAAGATTTATGGTGCTTTCACACCAGTACAGTAGTGAGACGCATGTACAGTGCATGCAGATTGCCATTACTTACCCGGGGTACAGTTTCTCTTGTAGATAATGTTGCCATCGTTATCTTCCTCCTGGCACTTGGGAAACTGGAGAGTCACAACAAAGGTCACATTGGATCCTACCAGTGCTGGGCTATCAGTGACCAGTTTGGCTGTCACTCTTCCTCCTGTAAAAAACAAAATTGGTCTTCACAGCATTAATGGATGCATCAGAGCAGCAGCTACCTGCAGCTGTGCACCCTTTACCTTAGGAATGTTTTGTTTATTCCTCCTTTATTTCCAAGGGAATTTCTGCTCCTCACTCATTTGTGCTCTCATCAAAGTCCCAATTTAGGACAATAGGGATTCATCATTTTCCCCCATGTAACTTACTGATCTGTCATTCATTTCCTTCTTAGAGCTAAGAATGAGCTTTTTACCCATGGAGTTGATAGATTCCAAAGCAAAATATTTTTATTTCTCCCCAGCTGTTAGACCTCAGCTCAGAGCAGATGATAATAAACAGGCTCTACACAGAAGTTGTTAACCTGAAACCCACAGTACCCTACTGAGGTAGAAGTTGAAGCTGCATATCCTGTAGGGCATGCTTCAAAGAAAGGGTTATCCTAGAGCCCTGGCCATCAATACATCTTAATAAGTATTCATGTCTGAGGCTATGAGCTATGGGAAAGCATTTACTGTAACAACTCACTATTCTGCTGCTTCAGATAGCGTTCCGGTAATGGCATCAATCCCAATTGTCTCTACTTTGCTCTTGCTTGCAGCAGCTGTGAACATTGCACTTATGAAAAATGCACTGCAGCACCCGCACTCTTCAGTGGAGTGGGTTTTATGGCCAATTTTCTCAGTGAACTGCATATGTGCAATTACCTTTCCAGCAGTCCTTCCACCTGGGATCATCTTCCTCCCAGACAGGATAAAGGTTTTCATTCCAGTTATTTTGATCGCTAGACCAGCCTTGTACCTGCTTGTAGGATGCAACAGGAGGATTTCTTCCATTGCTCAGCACATCTTGAAACCCTGGATAGAAAAGCAAACATGCAATGGGCTACTATGTTCCCTCCTGCCCTATAAAGCATTGTGCCCGTGCTGAACAGCTGTCTCATTGTGGCTGTATTTTTGTGCTGCTTAGAAAACTCTTTGCCAGTGGAATGTTACAGAATTTTGTCACTGCAGCTCTGGACATTTAAATCAGCTACAACCAGCACAAAGACAATTCTGCCACTGACAGCCTGACATTTTTCTGCTTGCACTATTGCAGGCTCCCCACAGGAAGAATGCAAAGTTTTACAACATTTTGACCATCTCAGAGCAATTGTTCTTATGAATGGAGATAACCGTGCAACAGTCAGGCCAGTTGTAAAGAGGCTGCTTGACTGCTGTTGCTGACTGCTTTGTGCTTGACTGGTAATAAATCTGTGACTGAAAGGGTAGCAGGCTAAATTCCCTGTGTGTCTGGGTTGTGCTCTAGTGGAAGTTATGCTAGGAATGAATTTTGACCCAGTGAGGCTTTTCTGGTGAGCTGGCTGGTGGTTTGGGTGGGAGGGGTGGAACCAATCGTAACAGAAGCTGGCATTTCCAGAAAAGGAAATTCAGAACTGAGTAGTAAATTCAATGTGTTTGTAATATAACAACAAAAACATATTAGCTCCACGCCTATTACTTTAAAATGGCTCAGATTAAATAACTTTAATAACCTCTTTCTTCTCATATTACTACAAATGATGGACTCAAACTTTTCCCAGGCCTTCGAGGATCCCTCTTTCTCTCACAAAGTACTCACACAATGGGAAGCAAAATAAATATCCAAGTAACCTGTAGGAACATGTCAGACACTGGAGGATGCCACAGAAGCATGTTCATAAGCCGGCTGACAGGCAGAGTTCCATTAAAGCCTGGAGGCTTTAAACAACCCTGTCATGTTAATCAGGTAACTGCTGGGTGTGCCATTCTGTCACAAGATCAAGGGAGTTAGGATTTCTGCTTCTCGTGACTTTTAAAGTTACCAGATGCTGGATGCTTCTGAGATTTATACCCAAGTACAGCAAAGAATTGGTTGATTTCAAGGAAAATGCAGAGAGTTATAAAGAAGGACAGGAATGGCCCTACGTGGTGTTACAAAACCAAGTGTGTTGGAGTTTCTCCCACTTTTGGAAAAGGTGCAGAGCAGGTGCAGCCAGTCTAAGCACGGTCTTTATGGGCATGTGACTCCTAATTTTACTGCAAGGAAGAGCCAGAAAAACGGCACTAAAGAAGAGGTAGGAGTTGTTTTCTCTTGGCGTTTTGCCACCCAGAGAAATTTCAGCTGGGCAGGACTTCCCTCAGCCAGTCCCATCTCAGTGGTCACTCTGAAGTGATGCTGGTAGCTTTCTCCCTAGTCTCTTGAGGTTTGAGGACTGATAGGTCAGAGGAAAAGGGCAAATTTTAGAGATTTTATGAGACATCATCTCCCATACTCTTTTGCCCTACAGGAACTCCTCACAGCCTCACTTAGACCACTTGGATCAAGACTTTCCTGAAGAGTTAATATATTTTGATGTGAGCAGAGCATAACATCATGACTGGTATTTACTCAGTGGCCTGTATCACATGCTCTATTATTTTCAGTCTTGGTCAGAAGCAGAGTTGGGTAATACTGTCCTTCAGAAACTTTTCTCAGGGGGAAAAAAACAACAGATTAGAGACTATAAAATATTTCACAAAGGCTTATCAAGCTTAATTGCATTTTATGTCAAGAAATTAATTTCATCTTATTTGAAAGTAAGTAGTCAGGGATTTTTTTTCCTAGTTTTTCCCATTCTCTTTGATTTTATTGAAAAATTATGTAAAGATTACGATGTTTTGATTTTGCAAGTTCAAAACATTTCAATCATTTTTTTCTCCCAAGTATTCATTTCATCAAAAAGAGATGGAACACTTTTAACTTTATAAATGCTTTTAATTTTGAATAACAATTTTTGAATTCAGAAGTCATTTTTTTTGGTCCAGCTTTACTAATAACCATGGTCACTGCTTCTAAATCACAAGCTCCTTGGGCATTTCTGTGCCTCCCTGATGTGCTTTGTGTATTTCAATCAAATATAAAACATTTCACAAGCTTCAGAACTAGACAAAGGCATTTTTAAGATGAGCAAATACTTTAGCTCTAGTTTTTCTAACACATGGAACTGAAGATTTTCCATTGCTAAATCTAAAGTAATGCATTTATTCTTCAGCAACAACAACAACAAAATAAATAAAAAAACACACACAAAAAATAAACAAAACACAACCAACCTAAAGAAAATCCAGCCCAAAGCACTCAAGAACAGATGTTGGTCATAATATAAAATTAGAGCGATTCAGTTCAAAATAGACAGTAATAAAACAATCTAAGGAAATGATTTCTATAATAGTTTCGGTGAGGTGGTCATAGGAGAAAAGATCTTAACTTCAATAGGCTTTCTTCTTTCTCATTCTGGTTTTCATTTTGGTGAAAAATACAGAAAAGTCAAGAAGTTCAGCATTTCCTGTGATAGTGTGTTAGCCATGATAGAGAGAAAGTGAATGTTAGAATAGCAATAAAAAGATGACATAGTTAAAGAGCAGAATGGGACAAGGCTGATGTTATGGCTAAGCTAAGAACACAGAAAATAATGTAACCTTACCGAAGTTGCATGTAGGAACATAATAAAGCAGGACAGAAGAGACTTTGAGAAACAACTTGCAAAAACATAAAACCTACTAATTAATCTTTTAAAATACAAAAGTAGTAGAAAGCTTGCCAGCAAGTCTGTAGGGCCAATAGATGAAATAGATACAGAAGAAGCATTCAAGGAAGAAAAAGCAATGGCACAAAAATAATATACATTAGTTTACATTTTCTTTCACAAAGGAGGAGCCTGAGAGACTTCTGTGCCAGAGTTTTTCTTTACGATGATGGAGAATCTCTCTCAAAATGAAGTGTTGGCACAAAAGAAGAATTACAGAAGAAATTAACAAACAAAAGAGTTGTCTAGCTCAGGTGGCTCAAAAGGTGTGGAAGTTATTCAAGAGTGAAGTAAATGAGCTGCTAACCACAGCATGTAAAGTCTTGCTTAAAACTGCTTCAGTGGCTGTGAAACAAAAGTTGGCAACTGTGATGACAGTTTTTAAAAACATTTCCAGGGAAGATTTAGAGGATTACAAAAAGTGTGATACTCAAATTGGACAAGCTGGTAGAAACAGCAGTGAAGAACAGAATTAGCAGATACAGGGGATTAATATGATTTTCTGTAAAAGGAGTGCGTTCCTCACAAATATACTCAAGTTTTGCTGAGGGAGCCAGAGAGCGCGTAACCTGTTGGTTACAGTCTGCCTGAGTTCCAGGCAGCATTTGGTGAGGCTCCTTGCTAAAGGCGCATAAAGGAGCTAAGTTTCCATGGGACAAGAAGGATTTCACATGAGTAAATGATTGCTTAGGATGTTTGAAAGCTGTGAGCAAGCGGCTAGTTTCCACCATTGATGAAATAATTTTAAATGTTAATAATCTGGAAAACAGGTAAACAGTGAAGTTCTTTACTCTGCCAAAGACAGCATGATAAAGTAGTAGAGAGGAGGACTGGATGAGACTCAATGACTCAACAATGTAACAACATGAAATTCAGCATGGTTAAATGTAACTTTAGGTAAAGTTAAAGAATGAGAGGCTCTAAACTAGCTATTGCCACTCAGAAATGAGATCTTGTAGCTTTATAGTTTTGAATGCAGTGCTCGGGAATAGTTGAAAACCTAGGAAAAGGTTAGAGAACGGAGATCAAAATGTCTTTACAGCATTGTATAATTCCATGTGTGCTCGTGTCTTGAATACCGTATGCTGCTCTGTTCTCTGCAGCTCAAGCAGGGTGTAAAAGAGCTAAAAAAATTACAGAGAAAGGTGGCAAGGATGCTGCAAAGGGATGGAATCATTTCCATATGAGGAACAGCTAAATAGACCATGTCTTGAGCCTACAGAAGAAGTGACAGAGGAGAGTATAAAAACAGAATCAAGAACAGCATGGTGAAAGAAGCAATTTTTCAGTTTCTGAAAGCACAAAAGTTAAGGACAATCAAATGAAACCAGCAGGTTATAGGTTCTAAGCACACACACACTAAAGAAAAAAAAAAGATATTTCTTCATGCAAGGCACAGTTAAGCTGTGAAATTTCTTGTTGGCAGGATGTTGTGCGTGCTCAAAATTTACATGGGCTACCGCCAAAACCTGAGTGCACAAACTGGCAGAAGAGAAGTCCAGTAAAAACTGTTAAATACAATGGTTCTACATCTGACCAAGGAAGTTTTGGTGCTATAAATCACTGAAGGCTGGGGAAGTGTCCTCGGTAAATGCCATTGTACACTTGTCCAATTCTACATCTATGACTTTTCCCCACTGGAGGCAGGTGCAAGGCTAGCGGTATGCGCAATCTCAGCTCTTTCTTCAGTTTCTTTCTCTCAGATGCTGGAACTTGACCCTAAATTCCCATTTCTGGGTTCCTAGCACCAAGCTCAGTGAGTCAGCGTAAGACTGTAAACCAAGCTGGAGTCTGGGAAGAAGACCAGGACCAGTCCAGTGCCCATCCACCACAGCTGGAAGGTCCAGCTCCTTGACTGGGCTCCTTGAGGTTCAGGATGCAGAGGTTTGGTGGCTTCTCCCAGACACAGCTGAGCAGACTATGAGAAATCCACACTGCCTCTGTCTTTTTGGCCAGGTTTGAACTGGGGAAATATTGTTAGGAATTGAGGAAATGAACCCCAAAGCTCCAGTCAACTGTCTATCTGCCAGGAGACAACCGGACAGCTCTTGGCATCTTCCTACAGACAGTAGAGCTACGGGAACCACCACGCCTGCAAGGAGCGGCAGGTTTTACAGCACAGTCTCAGGACAGGAGAGAGGAAAGGGATGAAGGACTCACGCGTGGCAGCAGCACAGAGCACCACTTCGACCAGGAGCAGGAATCCGAGGTAGCGGCAAGCCCCGCTCATGGTGTGAGGGATCGTACGTCGGGTCGGTGCGCACGGAGGAGTGGAGGGCACCCAGCTCCTGCACGCAGCAACTCCGTCGGTCTCCGCTGAGAAGTGAGAATAAAGTTTCTCCGCTGCGCAGCTCTCCAATTAAATGAAGGGCCCCGGGACTCATCATGTGATGGAATTAAGCAGAGATGCATGATTTTGTCTTCAGCTTCTTTCGGCTCATGTGCTTATGACTCACTCCTTTTGCTTTCAGCATTCCCTGGGATTTCTGAGAGACCTGTTTAGAGCCACACCATTTACCTTGCAGGCATTTTTATACTAGTTTTATAGTATGATCAATTTTGGTACTTAATTTGTTTTTAAATTAGGAACATTTATTTCCAGAAATCCAAATTAACTCTCACCCTAGCCTGATTTGCTAGTGTTACTGCAACAGCTCATTGCATTTGATGGGCCCACCACTACTTAAACATGTTTCTCTTCCCACATGCTGGGCAACAGACTGCAAACTGGATGGAGACTGGTGGATTCTAGCACTTCCCTGGACATGGCTCCTGATTAGAGCTGATCCTTAAGGAAAAAAAATATTTAAGGGCTTGTTTAGTGGGCACATGTGTGTACCACCATGCCACAGCTGTGTGACGTGACATGTCCACAATTAGAGGTATGATCACAGGCTGTGTAGTGATGGCCAGCCAATATCTAGGTCACTAGTTGCCGTGACCAAAGCACTGAAAGCACTTCAATGTGGTGTGTGGTGTACAGAGATAAATTAAAAGTAGGCTTTACTGTCCAACCTAATAATAAGGTGTCGCCAGTGGCTGAAGAGGAGGAGGGCAATACTTTCAAACACCACACTTATGGTTCAAATTCAGGTTCAACATGCTTCATCAGCATAGATACCTTCCCCAGGTGGTCTTCCATAAGCGGTGCAACGACTGAATTTTATGTTGGTCCTGGCAGCCTCATGAAGTTTCTTGCTTTTTTTTTTTTTTTTTTTTTTTTTTTTTTTTTTTTTCCAGCAGAAAACAAGCTTTGATGAGACAAGGCATAGAATCAAATACAGTCCTCAAGATGGGAGTTCAACAATGGTTTCAGTGACCCCAAAAATCACTGGCAAGTGAGGTGTTAGCCAGAAAAGAGCAAGCTGGGCAACACTAAGCCATTTTTATATTGGGCAAGGCAGGTGGAAATCTGTAGATCCAACATACTCTAAACAAAATGAAGAGATTGTCCAAAGAGAGGAGACTTTACAAGTATGACTTCTTTTAATTTTTTTTTCTTAGTGTCTTTTTTTTTTCCTTTTTCTTTTTTTTTTTTTTCCCCTAACATTTTCTATTACCTGGAAGTTATTGTCACTACCTGGAGCACCCTGGCCAGCATTTTTTCTCAGAAACACAGACTCTGATGTCCTGACCTCTTAAAAGCTCCTGATGGATGCAAGGCAAGACTCCTTCTGGAGGTCTTTCAGAAAGAGTAAGTCATGGCCTTTGTGTGTGAAGCCAGACATGGGTGAGCAGAAAACAGGAGTGTCTTTTTTGCCCCTGTCTTCCCAACAGCACAGAGAGAAGGATCCCAGGCCATGTGAAGAGTGAAGTGCATCTTGCATATGGAGACTCCATGGTTCAGCAGCCTCCTGTCTGTAGCCAGATCTCCCTCCTGCTGCCAAGCCAGGAAAAGAGGTGAAGGCAATAGCCTTAGGGATACCAGGCTTGTTTAAACTAAGCCCTCATTATCTGGCAGAAAGGAGAGGGAGCGTAAATCAAAGTCAAACCTGTGACTGACTATGCAAAAAAAATCATATGACTGTAGCGTCCTCATGTGATTGTTGCTTTCTTGTTGTTATTAAATTAACTACGTTCCCAGTTGAAATGTCAGGATTCAAAGCCATTCACAACTATTTTTTAAACCACATCGGACATTAATTTTAATTGCACTCCTTTGTTTCCAGGTTATTGATCCTAAAAGTGAAAAGGACCTTCAAATACTGTGTTTCAGCACTGATCCAAAGTCTGCTGAGGAGAAAGGAGGCTTGAGCACTCTTTCCCAACAGGGTTTTTGAGAACCTCCAGAGAAAAACTGCTGACAACAAATGTCTGGTAATTAAAAACAAAAATTTATCAGCCTAAAAACAATAAGGTTGGTTAAGACAGATTTTTTTTTTTTTGCCGTGTTATTTGATACATGAAAATGTTACATAAATATTGAGTGACACTCTCAATAAGAGCCAGCTGGTGGAAATTATTAAACATGTTGTAAATAGACTTCAGGGGCACTGAGGATCAGGCCTGTGGTTACAGGAATCCAAAACCACCAGGGCTGGGGTAATCACTAAAAGGTGTCTGTACTGTGAAGATCTGGTCCTTCACATTCTCCCTCTTCTGCTCTTGGGCCTTAGACTAAACAGTCCTGAAGGGTTGAAACAGAAAATGTTTGGATCCATTTATGCTGTGGCTGCAGCCAACTGCATTAGCAAGAAAAGAGGAGAGTAGGAAGCCATAGAATAAGAGAAGAAAGAGCTAGGAAGAACAGAGATGTAAAAAGAGTGAAGAGAGGAAGAAAAAGTGAAGAAGTATTAGAAGTGAAGACTGAAGGGACCCTCTGAAAACTGAGCTGACTTAAAGTTGTACCCTAAGTCCCAATGTCAGCTGACTTCTCAGTTTGTATTTGAACATGAGTTCTTCTGAAACACCAAAGAATTGCTTTTAGCTGGCTGATCATCACCAGATCGTAAATGAACTTCACTGATTTTACATCATTATGCTTGGTGTCTGAGAAGTGGCTTCACAATTAAAGCAACTGAACTGAATTGTGTAGCTGCAACAGAGACAAGATTTAAAATATAGCTTAAATATTCTTTTAGCAAAGAAATATGTTCAGAGAGATTTAGGACTTAATCTTACAAAGAAGTGGGTGGGTAGGAAGAGCTTGGTTCTTCACAGCTTTAGCTCCTCAGTTATTAAAACTCGTCCAAGAGATACAGATCTCTGCTACCTGAAGGCTTGTCAGATGACAGGGTGTGATCAAATCATGTGTACCTGCATGTCTAGATTGTGACAGAGCTGGCATGTTCTCACTGCTATCATGCTTCCATCTCCTCAACACGAGTACAGGAATTGTTAAACACTTCTCATAGGAACTTTAAAAAAAAAAAGAAGAAAAACAAACAGATACGAAGAATGATCTTGATGTTTAGCCAAACCAGCAGATGAAAATGAACCAATCTCATTTTAGCTAACCAGATACGTGCAGGTGAAAGCTGTCTGCCATTACCAGTGGTCTCTAGGGAATGCTGCTTAAGGCGACACAAATTACCTTTCTGGGAGGATATCATCTGTGTCTTACTTCATGTGGGACAGTGCCTCATCAACTGACTAAACTGAATGTGTACACAAAGCTGCGTTAGCAGTCTTCAGTCTTTCTGCAGAAAATACATAAGAAACTGCCATGTATCTGTGTGTATATGACAAACATAAAAAAAAAAGGCTCTACTAAAGCTCTTGATCAGTTTGTGGCACCACCCAGCTCAATTTATCACTTGAAAATGAGTTAACCATCACAAGTAGAGAAACAGGCTTCCAGTAATTCCAGTGTCTCCTTTTCAATTTAATTTTATTTTTTCTTTTGTGAGAGATAAAGCTACAGCTAAGATTGTGCTGATTGTGCTTTTTTTTTTTTTTTTTTAATGGGAAGGCACTTCCAAACACTTGTACTCTTCTTCAAATTCCTGTATTGGTATTGATGCATTGATGCTTTCCAAACTTTGTACTTAACCACAGTATATAATTCTGGAGGTTTTTTTGTTTGTTTGTTTGTTTGTTTGTGTGTGTGTGTGATAGAAGTCATTTTTGGCTTGATTGCCTCTAGAGCAAAGGCTTGAATGACCATGCCATCTCTCTGCCTTTTCTAGGGATGTCTCTGTTTTTTTCTCTGTAGTAACACTAACCTCACTGATCAGGTGCGTGACTGTGCCCCAAAACTCTTGTGAAAGCAGCTCACGGGAAGGCACAGAAACCCAAGATAACATTCAATTCAAGGAAGGGCTGCAGCTCTTTGACATCAGAAAATGCACAGAGCTCAGTCTTGAGATCAAACCCATGCCGCTCCACTCATCTCTCACATGTGGACTTGGCTTCCCAGCTCATGGGAACTAATTCATGTATATGATCAGCAGTCGGAGATGAAGCATGGTAACAGAGATTGGCCTTCCAGACCTCACCCAGACCTCACCACTCTTTTTTTATTCTTTTGTTTGTTTGTTTTTCCTTTTTTTCCTCAAGATGTATAAACAGAGCAAGTGAGCTTCATTCAATGTCTCTAGGCAGATTTTTGTTAGCTACGGTGCCAATACAAGGAGGAGTTATCCCAGTAATCCCAGTGCTCTGCTTCCCTTGCTGGTGGTCCCCTGAAGGCCTCTGTGAGCTTCTTGATGGCCCTGTGCACACCTCAGCTGAGCCACTTGTAGAGCTGCCACGGTTCATTTGCAGTCTGGACATTGGGTTTACTGTACTACATTTTACACGCTGGCTTAATGAACTGTTAGTTACACGGCTTATGTTCACAGTGAGTCATCAAGGCACCATCCTCTTCCAGTTGTGAGGGCAGATAATTGCTGTAAAAGTGCATGATTATGACTGTGTGATACCCACATTTTACACATTATTATTATAATGAAATATGTTCAGGCCTCTCTGCTGAGCGGGGAGATTTTAAAAGGAAGATATTGGATGAACCAGCTCCAAAGAGAGCGACCAAATTATTGCTGAAAAGTTGTTTTCCCTGAGGCTCTCATTGATATTTGTCTAGGAAAATTAAAGAAAGATTTCTTCAAAATAAAAAGTATCCAACAACAATCAAACAAACGAAACCCAACCAAAAAGGTGATGTTGTTTCAAAAGGAATATATGTAACAGAAACATCTGCTTTGTAGTCATTTTGGTGACAGGACACTGAAGGCAAAGTGATCTCAGCCGAAATCTGCTCCTTTTAAGTTTTTCTAAGAAAAAACACAAACTTAGTGTACTAAGTTATATCTCCTTCCCTGTATATGGTATATTTCACTTATTATGGGCTTGGCTTCAAGAGTTCAACACAGAAGCTCAGTTGCTTTACAGTTCACTGAAATTGCCTTGACTGCTCAA